TGACTGCGCTTGGTCGCTGGTCGCTGGGTAAGCGTCCCTCAGCCAATAGCATCGCGGCTGATTAGTCACCCATCGGCCGCTTACTCGTGATCCGCTTCAACTTTCCCTCGCTTGACTGGTGACTGCTTGATTGCTTGACGAACCTGGTCTACGGATTGCGTTAGCCAAATCTGGCTCAAGGAATCTGGTCCCGAAACAACCTCCCACGACCTGCGCAACTCCACTCCCGACATCTATCGCAATGGCGTACAAACGGCCGCGCGCGCCTTCCCCGACCGGCGCTCAAAAGCGCACTCGCGGCGGACCGACAACGTACATATCCCTAGGCACCGGGCTTCCCGAAGAAGAGGCCGATGATGGCGCTTTCGTGCCCGTGTGGAAGCAGACCGTGACGGACGAGCGAGGTCGCCGGAGACTCCACGGCGCATTCACTGGAGGTTTCAGTGCAGGGTAAGTTTCCGAGCCATACCTTGACGAACGCAAGACTTCTTGACTATGCTAAGATACTTTAACACAGTTGGATCTAAAGAAGGATGGACCCCGAAAACCTTCGTTTCCTCGCGCGCAAACCGCAACAAAGACCAGCCGAATGGCCCGACCCAGCGAGCCGAAGATTTCATGGACGAGGAGGATCTGGCAGCAGCAGCCGAGTCGCGCCAACTGGAGACTGCGCAGAACTTTGCCGGCATAGGCGAAGCTGGACAATTGAACGACGATGGACTGTTCGGCCTGTTCGTGACCCAGGAGGAGACAATGGGCGTCAAGATTGCGCAGAAGATGGGCTGGCGGCGAGATCAGGGCATTGGTCGCAAAGTGCGCCGGAATGCTGACCTGGAAGATGGCGCATCCGGTTCCAAGGATGATGCAGCTCATATGTTTGCGCCTCAAGATGCTCGCATTATGACTCTGCCACGAGAAGAGGTCCGTCGCAAAGGCCTGGGATACACGTCGGAAGCCCGCCTGGGTGCTGTGGAAGAAGAGGCCACGGACCGTTCATCCAAGTTCGACCTGCATTATCTTGAAGCTCCGAAGAAGGCATCGACTGTGAAGAAGCCTGCGCTGAAGAAGTCTTCCTTTGGCGTTGGCGTGCTCAACGATACCGGCTCGGACGACGAAGACCCGTACGAATTGGGTCCGAAGATCACGTTCAACAAGACCATAGGCAAGGAGAAGAAGGGGAAGAAGCCCAGTAAATTCGCCAAGCCAGGAGCAGGAGAGAAGCATGTGTTTGTCTCGAAGAAGAGTTCGTCCAAAGCCTTGGTCTCGCTGAGCAGGCCATCTATAGATGGGAGATCTCCGTTGAGTGGCTTCACATTCGCGGCCGGTCTCACCGAACTCACCAGCAAGCCTAAATATCCTCCACCGAAGATACCTCCAGGTTGGAAATCTTCGAAAAGTGCCACTCCGACTTCAGAATCGAAAGACTACCAATCTGTAGCAGACGCAGCGAAAGCGTCAACGTTGGATGCAAAAGGGCGTTCGGCACTCTTGGGGGAGAAAGCTTTGCCCGGAAAGTCCATCTTCGACTTTATACCCAAGGACGCCCGAGATCGGTTGGCTGCGTTATCTGGTAAAGCCGATCTGCCCCAGGGCCTTGGGGAAGCTGCTCCTGAAGGACATCTGCCCGCAAGCAAAGCCCTACCAAAAGATCTGTGGAGTCTCGTGCCTTCTCTCGATAAGAGCGTGGCAGCCGCGGCCCTCGCGAAGGGTGCGACGGGCTGGATGCCTTATGCTGAGGACATACAGAAGCGTGCACGTTACGTTGGCTTCCTAGAGTTGAAAGCAGGACTGAAAGAGGACCTGCCAGAACGAAGGGAGGGCGTATCAGTCTCAGACTGGATCAAAGAGCTACAGGAGTTTGCACATGCTGCAGAAGTCTTCAAACCCACAACTGGCATTATGGCCTCCCGATTCACATCCGCGTCATCCTCAACCTTGAACGGAAACGACGGTGGAGCTGCGAATGCGAATCTTCTACGACAGCCAGCCGCAAAGCCAGAAGATCCCGCAGAGCAGGCAGCGAAGCTAGGCATGTACGGTCCCATGACTCGAAGTAGTTTCCCCTTCTACCCATCGCGACTCCTTTGCAAGCGCTTCAACGTCAAGCCCCCACCAGACATGCCGCCTGAGTTTGATGCTGGCGAAAGCCACTTCAAATCGCAGACGGAAGAAGCAGTGTCCAAGTCGGCTATGGAGAAGTTGCAACATGAGTTTTTGACTAACGGTCCTGCGCTTCAGCGGCCGGCTTGGATGGGACAGGCGTCGGAAGCTGCTGTCCCGGCTGCAGCTATGGCTACGGAACAGAGTGGGCATGCAGCTGTGGACGTGGAGAAGAATGAGGCGCTTTCGAATGAACGGGCTTCTGAGGATGTTTTCAAGGCTATCTTTGGAGACGACGAAGATGATGAGGACTGATGGAGGACCGCATTCGCTCTCACATATTGCACCACCGAATACGTGATTGCTAGGCTTCTGGGGTCATTTGTAGGATCTATGGAGCGATGTATGATAGGGTTGAGAAGGTGCCACTTCGTAATATTGATTAAGCTCAAGATCAAGATAATGCGATCTGATGAATACATGTATGGCCAGTTTTTTTGACAACGAACTTTCCATTTACGATGCCAATAATGTCTACGAAGTTCATGAGTTCATCAAGGATGTATCGTTGATAGACGCGGTACCAGACGCAAGCGAAAATATCACCGACTCGCCGAGGCTCGGAACATGTCGTCATGACACTTTTTCGCGTGAGACCGACAGACACGTTGTTACCCTCTCACCCTAATATTTGCGGCCAGTCTTCCAGGGCTGTTACCATGATGCGTACTGCAGCTTCAAATCTCTTAAGATAGGAATTGAATACTTGACGCCTCGGCAATGTCAGATGGCGCCCGCGGAAAGCGCTCGTCGTCCTACTGTAAGTGGAAAGAGCGAAGAGCATAATTGCTATTGCGACAGCTAGCGTTTACCAGTCACTAACAATTGCGCAGTCCACTTCTTCGCCGGCCTAAACTCAGGCATCCTGTCTGCCGTCCTTCTCCAACCCGCCGACCTCCTCAAAACCCGCGTCCAACAATCCCGCTCGAGCACACTCCTCGGTACCATCCAGTCGATAGCCAGCGGACCGAACCCGATACGTCAGTTCTGGAGGGGCACATTACCAAGTACCCTGCGCACAGGGTTTGGCTCTGCTATATACTTTTCAAGTCTCAACGCGTTGCGACATAGAGCGAGTCTGGTCGCGGCGGGCAGCAGCGATGCAGCAGTCAAAGGCGCGGAGCACTCGAGCTCTCTGCCCAAACTGAGCAACACGGCGAATCTGGCGACGGGAGCCTTTGCGCGAACATGGGCGGGCTTCATCATGATGCCCATAACCGTTTTGAAAGTGCGGTACGAGAGTAGTTTGTACTCGTACAATTCGCTCTTCACCGCATCTCGAGACATCTTCCGAACAGAAGGACTCAAAGGCTTCTTCGCTGGTTTCGGCGCAACAGCCGTTCGTGATGCACCCTACGCGGGGCTCTACGTCCTCTTCTACGAACAATCGAAACGGAAACTTTCTAGTCTCGCAACCAAGATTGAAGAGACATCCGGCACCGCCACTAAGCTGTCTACCAGCACATCCGCGGGGATAAACTTCATCTCGGGTGTTGCTGCAGCGGGGCTGGGGACAACTATTACGAATCCGTTCGATGCTATCAAAACGCGCATACAGCTTATGCCCCACAAGTATGGCAATATGGTACAGGCGAGCAAGAAGATGCTTGCGGAGGAAGGTATGCGCAGCTTGTTCGATGGACTTGGTATTAGGATCGCGAGGAAGGCAATGAGCAGTGCGCTTGCCTGGACAGTCTACGAAGAGCTGATTCGACGAGCGGAGACTTTGAAGGAAGTCGTCGAGGAGAAGATATAATTACGAACTGTACGATACTTGCATAGCCGGCGTTCGCTGGCGCCGACACTCGGCTAGACCCTCTTCGCTCACATGCACATTGGAGTGTTCAAATGGAATAAACGATCTACATCTTAACGTCTCTCACGGAATACCTATCTCGTCAAAGTTCACACCATCTAATGAAGACCGAAAGCCTGGAATTTCGGACCGACCCTGACTGGAAAGGTGCGGCTGAAGAGCTGTGGCTATCGAAGACGATCTTGGGGCTGCTCTAGCCGAAAACGCGGCCCAGGGCACATGAAGGCTTACTCCGATCAGCTTGTTGGTCACGATACCTCGGCGGGTCGCACGCGAGCGGAGCTGTTTCAGGAGGCGCTGAAGCATGGAGAACATGTGTCTTGGAGCGCGCGTCAAAGGGAGATCAACGGAGTGGGAGTATCCACGAAGTTGACACTTGGAGATTGATCGGGTTACTTGATAGCAGCGCTGTACACTAACAAGGCTTACTTGATATGTCACTTCCGCCCCCAGCCTAGAGTAGATGGAGGCTTTGGCGCTTGATGGCGCTTGATTAGTGTTATTTTCGACATGCCCCACCAAACCATCACCATCCTCGTGCCGCTAGCTGGAGAGACCGAAGGATGTAGGGCAAAGCCGTCGCAAGAATCGCACACTGCAGCGCTACAACAGCGCAGAGGGGATGCAGGCATGTGGACGGCCTCCTACACTATCGTTGATAGGTCAAATATGCCTTCCGGCTGATTTGTGTTCACAAGACCGGGCGCATGAGGATGCCGCTAGTGATCAGGCAGCTTTCAGCCCCCATTCCAGCAAGAGGGGCGCAATTCCTTCAAGTTCTGCTGCAGCCGCACCTTTGCTGACATTTCTGCTTTCTTACGTTACCTTCTCTTTATACCGTGTCACCTCTGCTGCTGTGCCGCCCCCTCAGCGTCGACCCCGCTCTGTGTGTCCACGCCGCAACTGAGACCAACCCAAAGGTTTTGGATTGATTGCTCTGCTCTGTCCTCACTTCAGATTTCAGACTGAACAGTCGGGATAGTTTTTCTACTTTTCACCCGTCTTTTCAGCCTCTTCGCCCACTATGCCACGAGCATCCGACTGGGATCCTGGCAACTCGACGGATGATGAGTGGTACAGGCAGAAAATCACAAAAGACACTCTGAACATTCATACCCGTCATGTTCATCCCCCCGCACCCCGCCCCCCACCGCGGAGAGTCCAAGACGACGAGGTCTATCGTCCTGACTACGGTCGTCGCACGACAGAGTTTCTGGCTCCAGAAGTGCACTATACAACCGGTCTCCATCGAACTCGCTCACAAGGTCATGCGCCTGCTCCCAACGTGACAATTTACAACACCAGTCACCTGGATAACGATAGCCACCCCCGTATAAGCACTGAGCAGAAGGGTCAAGACGCCAGTCCTCGTGGCCGACGCATGCCTGGTGGGTTTGAGGACCTGGAAGATAACATCGCTGCGCTGCGAGCAGACATAAAGAAGGAGCATCGTTCGCGCTCTAGGCACGAGTATGAGCATCAACGTGCTCCCGAGCCGAACTACGAAGACAAGATCAAATTGACGCTTGCCGAACAGCGTCTCAGAGACCTTGAAGATAGACTTGAGAGGGAGCGCCAGGAGCGATACCATCATCATTCGCCAGACCGTAGTTACGAGGACAAAGTCAAGTTGACACTTGCCGAGCAGCGGCTTCGGGACGCTGAACAGCAACTCGAAAGAGAAAGACGTCATCACTCTTCAGATGGCTACAAGGATAAGGTACAAGAGGCACTAACACAACAACGCCTTGAAGAAGCCGAGGAAAAGGCTGAACGGGATCGTTGGGAGAAGGAAACGGAGAGACGGGAGGAATTGGCCAGGCGCAGGGTTGAGCTTGACTTCATCCATGATAGAAGGGACCGTGAGCTAGAAGCGGAAAACATCAAGAGAATGGAGGAGAGTATGCGTCGCGATTGGGAGTTGAAGCGAGAGAGGGAAGACCGAGACCGCGAGCGACGCGATATCGACGAGGAGAGGAAGAAAGCTCAAATTATCGCCGAGAACAGGGCGAAGATGTCCAGAGAGCAAAGGGAGGCTGAGGAACAGCGCGACAAGATGCTCGCTAAACTAGAAAGGGAGCAGAGAGAGCAGGATGACGAACGCAAGCGAATTCTCGCCGAAGCCAAGCTCAAGCAAGCCAGAGAGCAACGCGAGGCCGAGGAACAGCGTGAGAAAATCCTATCTGACATGGAGAAGAAGAAGAAGCGAGAGAACGAAGAACGCGCGCGCATCATTGCGGAGAACACGGCTAAGCTTGAGAAGGAGGCACGTGAGCGTGAACTCAAGGAAAAGGCTTTTGAAGAAGAGCGCAAGCGAATCATCGCTGATAACGAAGCCAAAGTAGCTAAACAAGCAAGAGAGGCAAAGGAAGCTCAACAGCGTGCTGTCGATGAATACCAACGGAAGAAGGCCAAAGAAGAGGCCGAAGCTCAAGCAGAGAAAGACCGTATCATCTATGAGTACGAGCGCAAGAAGATTCTCGACGCCGACAAGGAGAAGCGAGCAAAGGAGGAGCTCATCATGAAGCTCAAACTCGAAGAAGAAGAGCGAAAGCGCAAGGAAAAGGAGGAATTCGACGCTTTCACGCGAAAGCAGCAAGCGGCAGAAGAAGCCGAGAAGCGAAAGAAAGAGGCCCAAGAGAAGGAGCTCGAGGAGACGATGCGCAAGCGACTTGCTCAATTTGGCTTCCAAGACAACCAGATCCAGGCGCTCGTCAATCCGGACAAGCAGCGTGAGCTCCAGGCAGGCATGATGCCTAACCATCCTCTCCATCCAATCGCTCCTCCTGCGCCTCCGCCACCACCGCACCACCACCACTCTCATTCTCACTCGCACTCCTCTTCGCATCAGATCGCCATTGCGCCGCCACCTACCTACGCCAAGGTACACAGAAGCCATCTCGACGTGGAGACGCTGCACTACTACGACATCCCATATGAATTCGATGTTGTAAGTCCCCATCTACCAACCCCATTATCTGATACCAAGTACTGTACTAACATCCTACCCAGAACCCCGAATACATCATCGTCCTCCGCGAAATGTCCCAACGCGAAACCGACATCCTCTTCGAGCATACCCGTCGTCTGCGCACTGGACACGGTAGCAAGTTGTTTATTGAATCGGAAGGGAGGGATAGACACGGTAAGAAGGAGTATGCTTTTGTGAGGAAGAAGTCGAGGTCTAGGTCTAGGAGTGTGGTTGGGGGTTCGTCTCGTCAGGCGAATATTAGTCTGGGGGAGATGTTTTATGGTAGATGAGGGGGTTGAGATGGGGTTTTATGATGCGTTTGTGTTGGTTTCTTTGCTCATGACGACATATACCAATCTTCTCTCTAGGATCTTATACACATACATAGGTACCTTTGCTCGGTTGTTCTGTTACGTAGTTCTCTATGCATGGATTTGGCTTATTGTTGATCTCGATCTCAACTCATGTGACTTCACCTGTCTACGTCGCTTGCGATGCTGTGTAACGCTTTGCGCATATCCGTGCGTCTCAACGACTTCCAGCTCTTCACCGGTGTTGTGCTACGTCGATTTGGGCCTACGCTTTCTGCACAGACAGTGCTGATTCCTAATCCATTCCAGCTCGAAGACGTGCGACTTAATTTATGCCACGCGCGATCTTACCAACTTCCACTTTCACAGAATTTGGGAAGTGAAGAGTGTAGCACGTGCTTGTGCGTCATCCATGGATCGCACCTGCCTGACAGCTCTAGGGCTGACGCGTGGGGCCCACTCACGCCTCTTGCCTCGGCATGCGGTCGGCTTCTGATCTCCGGGAACATGACGCTCAGTTGCCGCAACACCATCACTCCGACAGACTCTCTCACACTTTCCTTCTAGCATGCGTTGATACCCCTCTTAGTGTACTTTTACTCCTTCTTGATTCGACATGGCGGAGCTTTGTGGGCCTTCAAATGCCCTGCAAAACTTCCAGAAGCACACAACCGTAGACCGGACGCTTCAACAGGACCGCTTGGTGGGCAGACATTCACCGGCGCAGGTACGTGGTCATACTCGAAACTTGCGCTTCGCCATCTAAACTGTAGCAGGGCTTTAGATCATCTCCGGGGCCAAATGTAGGCGCGTTAGATAACGAGTTTGAAGCCTTTCAAGCCGGCGGCCGGCCTCTTCAAACACAAAACTTCCAACCTTTCGATCCACGATTCGCGCAACCTCTTCCCCAGTTTGCGCAAGCTCCACAAGCACCCGACTGGGCGGCCGACTTTCAACGCTTGAATGTTAGCAGTCCGCCTCCACAGACGTTGCAACAACAGCGACAGCAGCCGGCGAGCGCAGCGTCAGCATGGCATCAGGACTTCTTGAGGCAGCAGGCTCCGGTCGTACAGGCGCCTGCATTACAGCAAACCCCGTACGGAGGTATGTCGGGATACAACATGGGTGGATTTGGTGGACAAGCATACATGCAGACACCGACTTTCCAGAACGCCCAAGTCTCAGAGGTCGCGCAAGGGAAGCAGCGCGCCCAGGATGACGTACCAGCGTTCGACGAGGCGGCTTTCGAACAAGCATTTGCGCAGGCGCAACAAGACATGATGGAGACGGCAGAGGCAGAGCAAGTACACACACAGCCAGCGCAAGAGGCGCTGGATCTGGACCGGCCGGGTGAGATGGATCCTCTTCTTCAACGGATACGAGAAACGCGGCCAGGTGTGTAGTGTCCGTCTAACCAACTACGAGTGCTGACTGTGAGCTTAGCTGTCTACTCCGCCATCCAAGTCTGGAGCGAAACCGGTCTCGGGCGAACCGACGAAGCAGTAGCCTACCTCGAGAACATGGATCGCCTGGAGAAGAGCGGCACTCTGGTCCAAGACGCGAACGAAGGGAAATGGATTGTCGATTCTCTTCAAAGAATCGTGAACCGCGATGCGCCTCAAGAAGTCAAGACCCGCGCCGAAGAGCTCATCAAGGCCATCAACCAACGCCTCATGTCGCAATACCCACTCGGCTCACGCGTCCAGATGAGCGAAGAGCAAATATGGCAGGATCTAGAAGCAGCAGGCTACATGCGAACACCAGAGCCGCTACAACACTTCGAACAGAAACCAGAAGAAGAGCAGAAGCAAGACCAACCGCCAAGAAACGAAGATGATGAGATGGCGGCAACAGCAGGCCGGTTGCTAGAGCGCGTAGCAGACAACACAAGCGAGAAGTTCCAAAACTCACAGTTCCTCGGACTAATGCGCCGCCTGCGCGACCGCGAAGTAAGAGTACAAGAAGACAAGATCGTCGAAGTCGACGCCAGCACACAACAGTCACAGCCAACAAACACAATGACCACACCCCAAACCACCATCTCCCAACAACCATCCCAATCACAACCACCATCAACCACGCAAATCCCCGAAATCGACCCCACAATCCTCTCCCACGCCGCCACCGACTTCGAAGCCCCAATCTACTACGGCGAAGAACCGCAACAACCACAGCAGTATGCCCAGCCTCCTCCTCCTCTTCCTCCCCAAAGTAATCCTCTCAGGGAGTCCCTAATAACTGATGAGATTTCAGAACAATATAGATACTACAATGTCCATGCCGCTTATCACCGGTGAGACGATGTTTACGGAGCCACGGCGTTTTATCCCAATGCATGAGCAGGATGAGGATCTTTGGAGGGATACTGTGGTGCCGGGGAGGGATCCGGTGACGAAGGGTAGGGGGTCTGGGTAGATTGTCGTGACTTGGGAGGGGCTTGGGGATATGCGTGGGAGATGTGATGCACAGGAGTAATCAACATATCAAGGGCGGTTGCACATAGGGCATTTAGCATTTGACCATCATCATTCGTATATTGAAAGCACAATTCTACGGGCGCAAGCTCATCTACTGCATCACTCATCAAGACCGCTAAGCTCTCAACCGACTTCCTTCCACCCCCTACTCTACCTCCCCTTCCCCCACTTCTTGCTCCGCCTCTCCATCATCACCAGGCACCCAAATCCCCACCCCCTTCTTATCCACCCTCATCCCCTCCGTCCCCTGCACCTTCAACGTCTTATTAAAGTACCGATCCGTAACTTTCAGATTCGGCATAATCCAATCCCCTTCCACATTCGACAGCAAGTTATACCGTACCGTCTGCCGACTCATAGGCAGGAGATGTAGCGTCCTTAGTTTAGGTCCGCTGAAACCGAAATCCTCGCTGGCTTCCATGGCGAGCTCGAAAGTGAGGAAGTGCATGGTGGGGTTCTCGAGGACGTAGTCGAGGTGAATAAGGGAGGGCGTTGTGGGGGAGAGGTGGTGGGAGGCTAGGACGCGGGGTTCTGAGGAGGGGATCTGGATGCGCGGGATGGGGAGGGAGGATGTTACTGGGGAAGCGTTGGGGTCGGACGTACGCTTCCATGTTATGTTTAGAGTGGTGTCGAGGGCGGTGGACCGCCGTTCTTCCAGGTTGTTCTTCCGGATATCTAGGCTGAAGCCCCATTCGCTGAGGATCTGGGGTTCCATAGGGGTTTCCGCAATGCTGAATTCTTTCGTGACGTCGCATGTTGCGCCACCGTGGATGCTGTGGACTTGGACGGCTAGGTCGCTGACGACGAGCTGCTCGTCGGCGAAGGATGCGACTTTGGCTCGTAGTCCCCATTTCTGTGCTATGCCGAATGCGTCGGGTGATTCGGGGTTGACGTTGCTTTCGGCTTCTTGGAGCTCGAAGTAGCTGGGCCATGGATCGGGGTGCACGCGTGCCATGAGGTCGTAGCTCGCTTCGAAGGGTGCGTTGAAGACGAGATCTGCGACCATGATCTTGGAGATGGGTATGTCGCGGTCGCTGAGGAGGTGGTATAGTACCTTGACTTCCAAGGCGTAGTCTGCTGGATCTGCGGGTGCAGTGAAGCGGATTCTCTCTGTTGTCCTTGCACCTTGGGCCAGCTTCCCTACTACATGGCCTGGGAGGTCTACATCCGTTGACCCGTCAAGTGCTGGTGGGACTTCCTTCATGGGTGACTCTGCTGGACGCTCGACCCAGGTGTAGCTCAGCGTGTCTTTGGAGCGACCCAGTAATCGCACCTCAAGAACAGCTTCAGTGTCCTCTTCTTCTTGGTTCAGAATCTCTATCGCTAGCGTAACGGACTCATCCGTGTAGTACTGGTTGCGAACGTCCGGTAGGTTGATTTCCATCTTTGGCGGTTTGGGTAGTATATGCACCGACATACCAGATCCATGCTTCAATGATCTTGATTTGATCTTGGTATCTGACTTGATCCACCAAACAGGATGAGTTGGAGTCTCTGGGTCTGTGTCTGAGCAAACGAGATCAAACTTTTCCGTGCTGACGCCGAAGACGCACGCGACGACATCGACATCCCCAGACTCGCGCAGAATGAGTGGGAGACTGTATACTTTAGTCTGCCCTGGGTGGAGCGTGAGATCAGCTGTCCCGGCCCAGCGTGGTTTTCCGGTAGCGGAGTGCGTCTCTTCTAATGTGCAGGTGTACATGATTGAGGTACTTCCGGAGGGTTCGTCGGCGTTGTGATTCAAGCGGACTTCAGCCAAACCACCATTGAACTGGTACTGGAGAAAAGACAACGTGATTGGGGCGGAGCCTGGTCGAGCATTGGAGCTGATGGCGAGTTGTGCATGAAGGGGTTCACCAACATTACCTTCAGCTTCAGCAAAGGCGAATGATGTTGATACTGTAATGTCAGCATTGGGTCATTGTATAAGACTTCTATACTTACAGCAGGATATGTGGTCTTTAGCATTTAGACTCACGCTCACCTTCTCGGCAGTCGCATCCGAGAAGACATCCAAACATGTCATCAAGTCGTACTTGTATTTTGTCTTGCCAGGGATCGCTGGTGGTTGTTAGTGAAGCTTCGTGTGAAAGACGGATAACACTGACTTTGACTATACAGCTCCCACTCCGTTGCAACATATGATTCTCGACTCTGTACTCGCAGTGCGCACTCATGCAGAGTCCATACTACTTCTGAAGCTAAGCTCCACCATCCTTCTTTCCGCCATGCCATCGTTTCCCAGAGTGATCGCAGTACTTTGAACGCATCGTCAAATCTTTTCACGTGTAGCAATGTTCGAGCCACCTCGAGTTGTAACTGGTCTACTTTCCGGTGTTGTCCCCGAACTCTAAACTCAGCTATCGCGGCATTAAGCTTGGATGAGATATCTTTCCAGTGCTCGAATCCGTTGCCGATACCAGGTACAGGGTACTCTTCGTGAGGTTGCGGAACGAGGTAGTGGTCATATATCTGATTCCGAGCCGAGACCTTGGCGGCAGGAGACATGCCTGGTGGTGTTCGGTCTTCCTCTGGCATCTCTCTGGCAAGGATGTAGCGCCTCTTTGCGTGGTCACTGGAAATCTTGTGCCAATATCCGGCATGATGTAATAGTTCCCATGGTAGTAGTCTTTCTCCTACTGGGAACTGCTTCTCGGGCTGAGAGTATAGCGAGTTAGGGATGTCTGGCAAGGGATCTGTGTCCGGGACAGGATCTCGTATCTTGAAGACTGGCAACTCTGTTCGTCGTACGGTCTCAGCCATCACTTGGGCCCACGTGGATTCCCAAGCCTGCCAACCATAGTTATTAGTACCCTTGCCCCGGCGATCGAGCACGTCTTGTAACCTCCACTTGTATCGCAACCAAGACTGGACCGCGGAAGTAGGGAAATTGTTCCATAGTTGACATCGAATGTGTCGTAGTGCGATGATATCTGCTAGCAATCGTATCTCGTCCCATCTTGGAGACCAGCTTGCCGTTGTTTCAAACAGGCCCTCGGCACCAAACAATGCCTCTAGAGCAGCCCCGTAATGTCGCTGTGCAGCGTCCATCTCCTGGCGAAACTCGGCAAGGATACCAAGCTTGAAATCATAGCGAACACCCCATCCAGGATACGACAGTGTTTGGGATGTGCCTCGTGTCGGTGGAGCTGTTGGAGGAGGAATCGTTCCTCGCCCCTTCTTCCTCCGCGCATGTTTTGTGAGGTCTCGGTAATACTCGACACAGACAGGTTGTAGTATGGCCAGGATAGAAGTGACGAATGCCTGCAGCTCGACCTTGGATGTCCTTGGAGGCAGAAAGAAGAGTGAACTCTTTGGATCCAAGCCTGTAGCCCGCCGTATCGTCGCCAGTCGCTCTTCGATGTCTGGTGCCTCGATTATAGTCTTGTCACTCAGCAATACCACAACGTATCTTGTCCGATAGTCTGACTTTTGTATCTGACTCTTGATCTTGTTGATGTCCGTCTTCAGCTGATTGTCGTGCAAGCTGTTCGTAATGGGGTCTGTGGTGAAGTTGAAGAAGGAGACGAATACGGAAGGAACGTAGTGCTGGTGCTTGGCGACCCAGGCAGGAGCGATGACGCCGTCGGGGAAGGAGGGCGACGCTGGGGAGAGGGGAGATATGGGCGAATGCAGGACCCAGGACGTTGCGGCTGCGATGGTGGGACTGCCTGGAGGGGTTGTCTCGGAGTTTGAGGGCGCATCTGCCTTTTTCGGAGGCAGTTGGAAGTTCTAGCAAACATCAGCCCATGGCTCCTTCCCGTGGCATAATCGCAGGCGCATGTACCCTTCCTACACTCCGTATTCTGAAGCCATGCGTGATGCCTCGGCGACTAAAGTCGCGCCCATTCCACGGCGCATTCGTGCCGTCTGCACTCAGAAACTCTTGGAGTAGTTCATTTGCCCGGTCACCTTCTGCGGGTGGTAAATCTGAGCTGATGTTCGTAACAGCGCGCCCAGGAAGCACATGCTGGACCGATGGAGGGGGATCGGCCTCTTTGCTGGTCGCTAGGCCTGAAAGGACAATAAACGGTAGGTTGTGCGCAGTGAAGTCTGATGGGTATGCCTCCATTATAACTCCATGCCCGAGTCGCGTGGTTTCCAGCTTGTATCTCACAAGCGTGGTGTCGACGTGGTGCTGCTTTTCGGAGTTGTGGAGAGCGGAAGTGCTGCGGAGTGGATTTGCTCGTCGCACGAGAATCGCAAAGCCAGACGTGGGATTCCTAGGTCCGGTATCGAATTGGCGATATCAAGCGTGTTTGTGGCAGCATGGAGATAGTGTACAGATTGTTCGCGGCTTCGTCATCGATGGTCGCGGGTCGACACATGGGGCGCGGGAAGCTAGCTGAACCCTTGCCATGCACGTTCTCTATGCCGCCCGATCCCTCCACACTTTCTCTCCGACACTCTACAGCTATACTTTTGCATTCCAATTTCGCCGCTACGCGTATCCACAACTCTAGATACCTTTGACAGTGCAACAAGCCGTTGTACTAGCTGAACGCGCTCGTATCGATACTCCGCATCTTCACCACCTTACGCTCGCGCTGGCCAGAGGCCCTGACGCCATGGCGGGCCAACAGCAGCAGATTATGGATACCATTTTCAGCATGAAGAGGAAGATGCTGCGAAAAGACGACTGTAGGCTCATTCCTACCTCGACACAGGCCTAGCTAACACTGCGCAGCCGACACAGAAGACTCCGAAACACCCTTGAACAGCAACAAGCAGGATCTGAGGCGCAAGGTCCATTATGCGCGCGCCAGCGACCCAGACTTCCTCTCTGACCCGCGACCGTACAAGAAGGTGCGTCTTGGCTTGTGCGACTCGGGTGTCGACTGTAGACTGACGCCTCCAGCGCATTGAGCACGCCGGCTACCACAGGTCCATCCTACAGCGCAACCCTCCACGATACGATGCGGACGGTGATGTCGTCGAAGTCGAAGAAGATTACGAAGACGAGGAAGATGTGGAGGCTGTCGAGGAGAATCCCTACGGCAACATACAGCTCGAGAGTCTTCTTGCGCCGCTCACCTCCGCCGCCGATCTACCCAACCATCCTGCCCTGAGCGTAGCATACTCCTCTCGACATCTCACAGACCTCGCGAGCGAAGCTGGAGCCCTCTCGCGGAAAGAGCAGGTCACGAACGCGCGGGCGAAGACTCTATTCGTGAAACTGCAGGGCGACTCCACGTTTGCGCCAGCTGCCCTGGCTGCTATGGGCAGGGCACCGTTCCAGGAGCCATGGGCTAGCAGCGCAAATGGGCGCGCGGGCGAAGGAGAGCAGCAACACCACGATGCGGAAATGCGCGAAACCATAGAAAGTCCCCATGACGTAGACATGGAGGATGCAGGCCAGCCAAATGGCACTAGTCGACAGGCCGAGACCAATGGCGATACGAGTTCAGAAAGGGTCAATGGCGCACATCCTGTGACCAACGGAACGCACGCAGGAGATGCAGAGCAGGCGCAAGAGAATGGAGAAGGAACGCCCGAAGACGCGTCTGATACCGCGTCGCAACAGACACATAGGATGACGACGCGCAGACGAGCACAGGCGCACGCAGCTTCGACTCCCTCCCCACCTCATTCACCCTCGAGTGGTGTCGGCGCAATACATCCTCTGTTCATACATCCGTCAGATTCGTTGCCAGACCGCGACTTTGGTCTTCCACCCAATGAAGCCGAGGAAACACGCATGCTCCTCATGGCCTACGTACAAAAACAGGAGGAGGTCGCACGGATAACATCAGACTTGTATCAAGGCCTGCTACAAGCCGACCGCATGAGGCAGGATGTATACAAGTGGTCAAAAGCGGAAGGCCATGTAGGAGAGATGAGCGATGGCGAGGACTGGTATGACCCCGAGGAGTGGGAGTTGGATGGTGAACTCGCAAAGGGTCGAGATGAAGAGGAGGACGATACAGCCGTGGCTGGCAAGAAGAGCACAAGGCAACGGCGGAAGCCGGACAAGGATGATCGATAGCCTCGATTACTGAAGCGGCAGGCCCCACGGACGCACCCTGAGTATTATTGTTGCGCGGATCCATAAGACACGAATTCATGCTACGTACTGGTTAGGACAGGATTTACACGAGTTGGGTTGCTCTTGCCTCAGTGAGCGGACCACGTGCTTTCGCGTCAACATCGTGCTTTCCATCCGCCGACGAAACTTCCTCCACTTCACAACCGCCACTCACCATGGAGTACGTTCTGCGTTGCAATGAGCTCAAGTGTCGATCGCAGCTGCATGAACGCGCCGTGGTTACTACGTGCAGGTTCGTCCATCTCACCTGCCTCTGACGCTTTTCGCTGACCATCCCACAAGTCACGTCTTTTGCAGCAATTGCGCAGATGTCACCGGGCTGTCGAGGTCTACAAATGCGCATCGAACTTGTCCAGCATGCAACTCATCGCTGCACAACCCCGACGATGTGGTTGTCGCAGGTCTCAACCCATCAGAAGACTACAAGACGTCGGTACTTAGCGGCCTGAGTCCAACGATCATCATGGAGTGTGCCAGTCGCGGCTTGGCGTTCCATAGCTATCAGACGTCGCAGGAGATTATCTATCAGGAGCACCTCGCGAAAGGCTTGACTGGCAAGTACGATACGCTTAGTCAACAGATGGATCAGCTCGTTCATGATGCAAATTCGCAGATCAAGGCATTGCAAGACAAGATGCAGGGTTCGCGATATCCTCTTTCTCCGAATGCTCTCATACTAATCGTCCCGCAGCCATGCAAGCCGAACAGGAGGATCTCGAGGACAAAAACCATCAACTTCAGAAAGCCTTCAAAGAGAAGACGAAAGCACATGCGCAGACCCAAGCGCACTACCAGCAATTGAAAAGCAAGGTCATGGCAACGGAGGTAGCTCATGCTGCTGGTGATGAGGCGGCGTACACGATCCAGACTGGTCGTGGAGACCGGTTCATCGACCGCCTTCCTGGAACGCGGACCGGAACGGCCAACTACAGTCAGATGAACATGTCGCAGCAGGTCGGTGGCGGTAGACCGCACAACAGAGACTTTAGTAGGAGTTCTGGGAGCAGTGGACGGCAGCAGCAGGGTGGTGTGCATCTCGGGCCTCCGTTCGATCCACAGTTGCAGAGACGAGGACTGGGTGTGAGGAACAATACTGGTCGTGAGTTCTTCTTCTTTGAACGTGGAGAGCATCGCAGGCTAATACAGTGAAGACACAGCGCCTGTCGGGACGCCTTCGCAAGCTCACAGAAGTCAGCTTCCGGTTCTCGGTGGTTCACGTCAGCCTCCTCCCTACTTGAATCAGGATGCGCATTCCTCGTACCAAAACTCGCCGATGGTCAGGCAGCCTCTTGCCAGCGGTGCACGGGGTCTGGGCAATTTCATGCTAGGCGGCAAGTCGTCAAGGAGGACTGGTGGCACTGCCAATACTGGTCCGTTAGGAAGATGAATCGAGGAGTGTGTGCCAGATTTTGCTGCGATGGGGCATGGGAACCGAGTACGGCCGATGAGTGGGCGAATTCCGTGTTAGATATGTACAATCTGATGCGGGCATATAGGTTTGATCTGCTCTGTCGTCGCATCATGCAATTATCATAATGCTGGTAGACATCTGAACTTAAAAGTGCTAGACTGATGCTTTTGAAGTCATGCTCGTTATCTTTTTTCCCTGATGATCCGCACCTTCGTCATAATGTCGGGCACACCGACTTACCATCGGCCATGCTCTTCGCCAACTTCTTTCCTCAAGTGACGCAAAGTAATCAACCAGGCTTCACTTCCTTAGCTTCGCATTACTTCTCCATTCACGCATAGTGGCTTTTAGTTGACCGGCATGGTAGTGTCAGGCCTACTACGATATCTCCGGGCCCCCAAGTCCCATTATTCGCAACTCCGCTCTCACCTTATGCAAGCAAGAAGCTAAACAAGTCTGCATACTACATTAAGACAAGAACTTGCAAGATAGGTGAGCTAACGTTAACGTAGGCTCTAGGGGGTTCGGCTTTATCCTAGGTTAGCGTGCTCCGCAAAAGGTTTGTTTGGGCCTTCACTCTCGATCTCAAGTACTCATGCGCTTTGTGGGACATCATAAGGTTGAGGGACGATCACGTGGTTACCAGTCTTTTGCAGAAGTCTCTCAATTGAGCCAAAATCTCATCAGGAAAATTGTCTGATATAGTTATTAAGCTAGGTGTCTTCGAAAGCAAAGGTGAAATATCTGATGAGCGTTGATCACGGGCCTTCGGCGCTCATTGTATCCACAACAACTAAGTACTGTTGTTGGAAGTGGAGCCGAATGCATTCTTCCTATACCGAATGATATAAGCGTTGGCCTTAGGGTGCTTGTTGCAACTGCAGATCAAGGCTACTGACAGTAATGATGGGACATACACCCAACGCGCATGACACAGGCATATGTGGGACATTGGAATGAAGAGTTAGCAGACGATCGATCGCGATGGCCTCAGTCATAACGGTAAGAGCCGATGGGTAGAAAGAGATATATAAGTAGATACGCGCCATACAGCAAATCTAAATATTCGCATCGGAGAGCAGCTCTCCTCCAATGCCGAACCAACCTCAATACATTGATTCTCATACCCAAACATGAAGACTCCCCAGCTCACTCTCATCCCCCTCTTGGGCCTCTTCACCACCTCCACCTACGCCGACTTCATCATAGGAGAGCACGCCGGCTCTGAACTCGGCGGCACCTTCTCAACCCCCCAGCAACCTAACACCCAACCCCCAGGCATCGCAGGCCAAGAAAACGGCTTCGGAACCGGCGACTTCTGCCCCGCCGGCACATCCGCCGGCACAGGCAAACTGAACAACTGGAAGAACAACGATTTCTGCGACTTAGGGATCCCTGGTTGTCCCTCTACCATGCGCATTGTCAGGTCTGCGGGCAGTTTCGCTGGTGATTGTGGCGCGGCGACGAATGATGCGGATCGTGACCACTCGGTTGACTATGGGGTGCTGATTAATACCGTCTCGTCCCCGAATGCGGCGGTTGGTAATTGCTATTACAGAAGCGCGCAGTTGAGGAAGGACTGTACGAGTACGGGGAGTGTGACGTATCAGGCAGCTGTGGTATGTCTGACGGGGGTTTGTGGACGGCCGCTGGAGAGTGACTTTGAGCCTGGGGCTTGAGAGGGTGGGCGAGGCCGTGTTGGCTTGGAGAGGATAGGTGAGCTGGGGGGTAGCTCAGAATGATAGCTCGTTGTGACGAATCCTGGACCCAGTTCAATTTTGTTTGTAGTCAGCTTGTTCTGGCAATTGATGGATTGACAGGAGAAACGACGATGTGGACAACTGCCTGACTACGACATTGACCTTGATATGTAATGTAGGGTAGAAGCAATAACTACCCGGCGACGACATAGACCTTGATATGTGATATTGGGTAGATACGGCGATTATGTGGCTGCCACGCCCACCTGAAAGTCTCGGATCGCAAAAGTGCGTTTGCGTACGAGATGGTTGTGTATTGCGGGAGTCGTGAGCAACTCGTGCCGCTGGAAGTAGAGCTTCAACTGTCTTCCGTCTCTTAAAGACATGGACTTCACGTCGTCCGGATTGAACAACTATAGTCGACATGCTGTAGTGCTCTCAACCGTGTGGAGAAGATTCGGCACTGCCTACCAATCTGCTTGAGTCACACTATGTGACCCAAGTCTCAGGTGTTGCACGGCTGCGGCCGCGTATCATCAAAGAGCCCGGATTCTTGCTCCATTGTTAAGGAGAGAAGGGCGGTGTAGTTTGCCTCGAAAGACATCTGGAAGAAGAAATGCTATAAACTAAGGTGACCTTAGATATAGTAGCAATGCCTAAACTCCCGAGATAGTCACCGGAGGCAACTAAGTCGGATGAGTAGTGGTCGCTTGTTAACCGTGCTCACTTAAGAGCAATGGCTAACGGGTGTATATCTCGACGTAGAGATAGGATGCAGGTATACTTGACCTGCGCAAGGACCGCAAATGCCTGGCTACCGAGGGTCGGCTTGCACACTAGGTGTGCGTTGAACTGGGAAGTTTGCGGTGCAGAGCAAAAGAGCGACGGGCAAAAAGTTGTATATATCGGGTAGGCGCTAGCCAGCGCACGGACGGATAGCGTAGCGATGAGGTGAGAAATCCTAACCCGTCTTTGGTGTTCTGCTGCTGCTATCAATGAGAGTATTCTGGAGGCGTCGGATGTCAGGCGTCTTTGTCGCTCGTGGCAGAGAGATGTGTGAACTGAAGCAGCACGGAAGGTGCGCAGCAGCGTCACGATAAAGCTACAATTAGAGTGTGGCGCCAACGCCTCCACAGCCACGGCCCCAGCCGCAGGGCACGCACCACGATCGGCTTACGTACCCCTCCGTGATCTCGTTCACGGAGTGCGGCTTGCCTGCCGTACAGCATTGCCATCATTACTCGCAGGAGGATGCACTGCGATTGACGTTCAGAGCCGTCGCATACATTCCTACGACAAAAGCAATGTTTCCTGAGATGAACGAGCGTGGAGACCCGCGACGTCAGGCCGTTCGTGCTGTTGATGGTGGTGTCAGATGGCGAAGGGTGTCTGGACTGGGTCAACTTCGGAGCTGGGTATGTTTCACCAAAAGAAAAAAAAAACGCTTGACCGCTGAGCGTTGTACGAAAATGCCGCGTGGAGGATTGATTCATGCATGTCACTCTCATTTCGGTGTCTGGTGTGATGTCTGCGTCCTGGTGCGCTGTGGCGGGCGGCTGCCTTCGTCGGGTTGTCGATGTTTACTGAACAATCCAGCATGTTTGTTACAGATATGCAGCCAGATATCTGAAAATTCGATGTCTTCGACATAATGTGGATACTTTGAGTCAGTGGGTTGTCTGCAGCCTTGCTGTTCCTGTCGATACACAAGCTTCCCGCCCCTTGCTTCACCAGGTAGTGGGGAATGCCAAGCAGATCTCGAACCACGCTACTGAAAATTCCGCGAAGCCTAACGTGGTCTGTGAAGAACGGGGTCGTGTTTGGTGAGGCGGCTCGATGGCACCGATCTCTTCGTGCTGGTGCACGTTTGCAACTTCAATATACCAAGAACTGTGATGGCGACGATCACAACCTGAAGCGCTGTGACTCCACGTGCTCGAGTTGTGGTGTTGGGTTGTTTCTTCCACCACTCAAGTGCAATGTTTTCGCGCTGGGATATGCCCGCGCGCAACTTCAGCAGATGTGCCATTGTGGTCTCCTGCCATCAATCTGTGTGAGCGTTGCGAAGACACAACGTATGTCGCAGCCGTTACTACCTGCTTTGGGTGCCGAACAAGGACCTCGAGAGTGCTGGACGTGACAGCTGTAGCCGCAACCTTCTTCCATACCATAAACACTTGACATGCTGCAGATTAGGCTTAGCTTCCACGGTTACGTTCTTCTCCAGGCTGTGCGCACAAGACATACGATTGGAGGAACTTCCAGGTCACCTCTTTGAAACGCATCGCTCTTGGCGTAAAAGGCGAAACGGGTAGAGACCGCGCGGATCACGATTCGCGAATCCAAGGACTGTTTCAAACAGATGAGCATAACCGCCAAGCACAAAGCCCATGAGGGTAGGGCGGAGCCGTGTGGGTTCAATCTATATGCGATTTCGCCAAACCTGCAAGTTTCCGTAGTTGTCCCGACGGCCGGCATTCAGAAGATGTCGGAACAGATCCGTGGATGGTATAAGATGGAGCGGGAGACGCGCCCAGAAATCCGTACTCACCATCGAGCCAACAACAGTCTTTTACAGTCTTTCAGCTTTCTCATCTTCTTTCAATCCTTTGCTCGACGCATTACATTCGCTAGCCGAACCCAACGTCCTTCTCTTCATTCCAACAACCTTTCAGCTCTCCAGCTTTTCCAATCCTAACCTTTCCAACTATCAACATGAAGGCCTCCGTCGCTGCTGCCATCGTGGCTTTCGCCGTCGCCGTCTCCGCCGGTCCCAGCAAGCCGTCTCCCATGAACTTCTTCAACCTGAACAAGCGTGCGAGCTTGCCTATCCCTGCCTCCAAGGGCTCCCAGACGCTCAAGGAGCCCATGGAGATCACTGGCACCTTTGACGGTGGTCTCAAGACCTATGGTCGTGGCGTGTCTTGCACTGGCCAAGCCGAAGGCGGAGATTCTGACGCGGTCTTTATTCTAAAGGTATGTCACGGCTGTAGGAAGTGCATGTGAGACACATACTGACTTCGTACCTCTACCTCTACAGGATGGCGCTACCTTGAAGAACGCGATTATCGGAGAGGACCAGATCGAGGGTGTCCACTGCGAGGGCAGCTGCACCATCGAGAACGTTTGGTGGGCTGCTGTCTGCGAGGACGCGCTTTCTCTCAAGAAAGATGGTGACGCAACTGGTAAGAGGTGTTTGCACATACTTCCGGACTGAGCTAACGTCTTCTAGTGATCGGTGGAGGAGCTACCGGCGCTGAAGATAAGGTCATCCAGCAGAACGGCGCTGGTACCGTCACCATCGACGGCTTCACCGTTGACACCTTCGGCAAGCTATACCGCTCCTGCGGTAACTGCAAGCAGTCCGCTGAGCGCCACGTCATCATGAAGAACGTCAAGGCCTCCAACGGCAAGCTCCTTGCTGGTATCAACCCGAACTTCGGTGATTCCGCCACCATCGACGCTACCAACTGCGCCAGCTCCGTCAAGGTCATCTGCGAGGAGTTCAAGGGTGTTGCTTCTGGCAGCGAGCCAGAGAGCGTTTCCAAGGGCCCCTCCGACTCCTGCATCTACAAGGAGCCTCTCTCTTCTTGCTAGGTTGCCTCGAGCAAGACTTCAAACAACATGTGGAGGATGAATCGGCGGACATCGGTGGATTTCATTGGATGGCGGGGATGCAGTGCATCTGTTGTGCTCGCTCTGGAAGCACTGTACATAAATTGACTTCTTTCTTGTATATATTGGCGACATAGAGTTGCGCGAATCGAGAAGGTTGCTCTACGAACACCTTGATGACAAGTGATGCCTCGTTGCATGGGTGTAGTTGAGTCCAGAAGTCGCGAATCGCGCGCACTAATGTAGTAGTGGGTGTAATTCGTGTCGCACTCTACAAAGATGTAATTAGCTGCATTATGGAGGTAGACGCATACATAACAATGATACTTGTATAGATGTTAGGATTTAATGGCGTGTATACAGCAAATGACAGGAACTCCCAACCCCCTCCAGGGCTGGTGCTGATGACGTGGGCGCGCTAGTCTCAATGGGGCGATGACAGTACCGAGGCGACACGCGACACGCGACGAGCGACACCTCGAGAAACCGCTCGGAAGCATCACGCTATTATGCCGAAGGGATTGCATCATAGGGGTGCATTATACCTACTACTTGCTGACACGTTGACAGAGCTTCTAACCGTGGTGTAGAGCTGTGCCGATGATATGACCGCCTCTTCGTGTGGCATTCATTCTCTCCTCGCTCTCATCAATCTCCATCTCCAGATCCCGACGTCACATCCCAAAAGAGCCGACTACTCCTCCTCAGAAAAATCGCTCTCCTCCAGCCTAGCCCCGCTTAACAGCTTGCCCATATGGGTCTTCTCGATACCCTCTCCTTCGCGCCGAACCTTCATAAGCCATGCTCGCAAGAAGGGAACGGGAGACTTCTTCAAGTTCCAGATACCGGCTGGCGGCATGACAAACCCGTCTGGAGAGGCTTCCTGACCGTCTTCTACTGTGTCCTTCAGAAGACCAAGATGATCACAGAGTTCGGCCCACTCAGACAACGAGCGCAGATAAAGACTTCCAGCAAAGAGATTAAGCTGCATCGTCAAGCTACGTGAGACCGAACCAGGCGAGAAGGTTCGACCGACGTTGTAGAGCATGAGGTCATCGATCGATGCATAACTGACGTTAAACCGTGGAGCGTAGATGTGTAGCGTAACCTTGTCCGACTGCCCAATCAGGGGTAGCAACTGATTGACCTCGTAGGGGCTCATAATGATGAGCTTGCTCATGGTACCTGGGCTGCTGAAGCTGGGCACGCTCAGGATAAATTGCACCGGGCGCTGGTACGAGTCGGAAACGAAAGATGCTCGGGTTGATCCTGGGGGTATTTGAACAGTGCGCATGAAGTCTGCGGTGACCAGTAAGTCATTGGGGAGACTTCTCAGGTTGAACAGCTTTCCAGCGCTCGTGGTGTTGAGAGATACGAAAGCAGGCACGAAAGCCTTAGAGCCGTAGACGATAGTTCCAGTGTGGATGAGGCTTTCCAGATCTGTATGAACATCATGTGGATGAGCCTTCAAGCGTGGTGGGCGCTCGACTTCGCGCTCCATTTCGATTTCCGGTGCAAGCTCACACTCTTGCTCCTTAGTTAGGGCGGCTGCTTCAAAACCACCCATAGCTTCGAAGCTACGGCATCGTGAAACGATGCTGACGATGTTGTCATTGGACATGTCCCAGTTGTCGAGGTGCGCGGACTCGTCGTTGTTCGGTGCAGATGGCTTGTAGCGAGTTTCCAAATCTGCCGCTTCATCTTCCAGAAAAGCCTTGGCTTGTTCTTTGGTAGTATCAAGGCCGTTCAACATGCCTTTCTGGCACTCAAACCTCCGGCCTTGAATTGCCCAGAGTGCTAGTGACCTCTTGAGGTCCGCCCAGGTTTCGCCGATCGCCCACGCCAATACATCATACGTTTCGATCGGAGTACCAATTGGCTTGCCGCTTCGCTCGTAGATCTTTGTCTGTATCTCTCCGGGTATGACAAAACACACTGATTGACCTTTTCCAAGCTTCCGTAGTCGCATAGCAGCTTGTGTGAGGCGATCCTTGGTCAGTTGACTGCCTAGCGTTAGGGCAGCCCGGTAGTGTCGTGGTAGCCCGGGTATGTCTGTTCCTCTTGTATGGCTTTCATCCAAATAGACGATGCACGATTCCAGCATTTTCGCGTAAGGAGAGGTTTGGAAAGACTCGACCTTGGAAGTGCGGTCCAGCACTGAAAGCTGTTCGTTCTCGAAGTAGACTATTGCCGAGATGTCGTTGTCTCGCAGCTTCAGCCAGGCTTCAGCCACTTCTCGGTTGCTCATTTGTAAGATTGACGCTCCGCAGTCCAGTATAACCCTGATGTCTGGGTGTAATCCCTCGATGAAACCGAGAAGATATTCTCCATCCAAATCTATTAAGCTGTTAGCACCACTCATACTCGAAGGTAAGACAGTGAACTCCTTGTCTTAAGGGGAACTTCAGCGATGGGACTGAGCGACAATATCTAATATTCTCATGCTCGTGTATATTAGCTGGGAAGATACATACTAATAATAAGTTAGCTAGAAGTTCTTAAACGTATTCATGACGGCTACTTTACCCTGTACTACCAATTGCACGGGCAGGTAAATTGGCCACGGATGTTTCGTCCATCAACAGAAACGATAAAACCTCAGCATTGGTGTGTTGTTGACTCGGTAGATCCAGATGCTTGATGTCGAGTGGAAGTAGATGCAGGGTATCATTGGTGCCAGAGAAGCCGGTGGATGCATTGACTTTGTTGGTCCCAGCTAAATCCCAGCCGCTCGCACTGACCTTTTGGGGGAAGTGCTTCATCTCTTTCGGGAAGACGAGATACGAGAGATAGTAGTCGATGGCCTTCCGTGAATGTCTCAAACCTGAGAACACTTCGGCGATGCATTGATCTCGATTGCTTATGGAGACACCAGAGAGATGCCTGAAAGCCTTGGGAAGGGTCGAAGATGCAGTACTCACGATTTCGTCGTAGTGGATAACCGCTTGATCCGACTTCAAGAGATGGGTGAGCGTTTCAAAAAGATCATCTTCACCCAGACCTTTGGAGTAATAGGAGAGCTGTGTCAAGACGATGACCACATCCTCATGAGAGAACTCACTCCTGGGCGAAGGAGCATCCTTACTGCGAAACGGAACAGCTAGGCGAGTGTTTGGGGTACGGTGACTGTCCAGGCCAAAGTCCACACGATATCGCTTTTGGAAGACGAATCGTAAAATACCACCAGCGAACAAGCCACGTAGGAGAAGGATTGCCGGCTTCGTTGTCTCGGTCCAAAACATGCTTTCTTCCACCACTTCAATCTCATGTGCTTCAAGTTCTGATACGGAGATATAGTGCAAGATGGCCGCTTGCATGGCTTGTGACTGTGTGCGAGAAGGAGTTCCTATGCCTGACTCGACGACCCGTGTCGCAAGAAGATACACAATTCGATCAGCAGCGTCAGTTCGGAGGAACCTGATCCTGGGATACATCCCGTCTCCATCGCTCTGTATATCAACAGCTTCTTGCAGATCTTCTTTCACCCGCTTGGCCACATTTGGAATGAGGGCTAGAACTTCCTGGATGATTAACCACCGCTCAGGGGCGTAGTCAATCGCTCGCTGGGTGCCCATCGTGTAAACAGACTCGAATTTGGTAGAGAAAACCTCGTCGCTTTCGTCGATACAATCGCAAGACACGTCGTCGAGCCATTTCTGAGTTGCTAACAGTGACTGGGCGGTCTCTGACTCGTCGACAAGTACGCATTCCACAGCCATCAACCTTGACGATAGGATATGCTCTGGCTGGGCCAGCAATACACCGCGCTCGCGAACACATTCTTTGTAGATTTCGTGGATGGTGTTGGCATCTTGAGCACTCAGTCGGAGGTTGCGCGAGAAGGGCAGTTGGTAGATCTTTCTGTTCAACAGGCCACCAAGCTTGGCGATCAGCATTGTCAGCATCTGTTTACTCTGGGGCTTTCCGACGATTACTCGCACAAGCTTCTTCTTGTCGCCATGGAAAGCGCTCAATATGGGCAAGATGGTCGTCGACTTGCCGCCTCCCATCAGCAATTGAAGCACAGCATTTTGACCATCCTTTGGTGAACGCATGTGGCTCGCAATGTGTTCCTGCTCTTTCCTGACAAGCATACCATTCTCAGCTTCTATGAGCAGAGTTTCGGGATACTGATATACATCCCAATTGGAATGGCCAACGTGTCTGAGCTCGTCGAGGAGATCGACAAGGTTATTGGATAGGCGGAACAACCTCTGAGCGCGTTGCAGATTAGTGATAGCAAGCGCATACTTGATGACAGTCTCTTGCCAAGGATATGACAGGTTGTCGAAGCAGTCTCTATGGAGTTGACTCAACCAAAATTTAGGATGAATTCGTGGTGAGAATTGTATCTGAACACCGACTTCGCTGCTCGAATGGTCATTCAGGGCGAAATTGAAGTCTGCGATGTGTTTCTGGCAGTCTTGCAGATACCCATGAAGCAAAGATTGGGCGTTCACAAGCAGTTCGTCGCGCATGCTGTTGTTGGCGACGTGCGCGTCCAAGGCTATGCAGCTTGATCGTAGAGTCTCCACATATTCTCGCTCACACACAGACTTCGCGCCTGTCAGAAGATGCTCACAGAAAGCGGAAAGTCTTTCGCTCATATCAGATTGGCTCTCAGGCCGCTGTACCCTCGCGATGGTCACCAGGGGTTCGCAAGGTGGAACGAGACCGGTAGTCGGAGGTGGCGCGGCAGCGAAGATGTCCAACGCGTTGTAATGATGTATGTTTTCGCCAATGTAGCCTTTCTTGGGCGGAAGAGTGAGTACGTGGCGCGGCGCCACCACGCTCGAGGCAGGTTGGTGCGCTATTACCGTTGAAACGTGGGCCAAATAATCCATGAACTGGCGATTGTTGTACCAATGTTCAATTCGTATCCGTATTGCTGCCATAGACTTGGATACATTGAGATATGTGGTATACTCCGTCGCTGATGGTGTTGTGGGACTCTGTACTGGCCATTGTGCCGATAGACTGCTCACAAATCCCTGTATGGCGTTGTCCTTCCGATCTTCGAATGTTTGCTTCTTCCTATCGCGATGCTGCCGCTTGTTCTCTGAGTCTAACTTGGGTAGCGAAGCTTCGGCAGATTGTCCATACTGCTTGGATTCGAGCCGCAGAGTGGCAGTGATCTGAGAGTCCTGGAAGTCATGCCCCCAAGCGAGGTCGAACTCAGGCACTGCAGGTGGCTGCACCGCTGAGAAAGCCTGCGGTGACCTGTAAAATAGAGCCAGAGCTTGGATGACATCGAAGTCGGCATTATCTGCGAAGGCCATTGTGGAAAGCCAAGTGGCGAGGTTGTAGCGATTGACGTATGTAGTTACACCAGTCAAACCTTCCTGTAAAGAGCACCAGGCAACCTTGATGTGCTCCGATGCGACCCCTAACCATTTTGAATCATATCCAAGACGTCTGAGATCATACATGTTGTCCACGCCGTGGACAGTAGCGCTAGCGATGTGTTTCTGAACAAGTACGCTTTTGAGATCGGGTATGGGGTTGTGAAGAGCAAATTGATTGCGCAAGATCAAGCTGGCTATCACATAAGCTCGTTCTCCTCTCTTTGGAATCAGTTGGGTGTCACGCGCAGCGTACTGCACGTCTAGCGAAGAGGTCCATTCCTCTGCGCCGAAACTCGCAACTCGATATGTGGCTGTGCGAACTGCAGATCGTTTGTCCAAATCGGAGTTTGAAGACTCCAGCAACTTTTCATGGGCCATTTGGATCCCTTGAAACATCACGTATTTGTCTGGGTGAAATACTTGCATCCGAGCAGCTTGCTCTAGTAGGCCTGATACTAGGATCCGGAATGAAGGGTGGTGCGCGAGTGACGGGAGTCTCGCGTCCCACCTCGTGGTCTGCATTTCTTGCAGATGTGCAGGGTAATAGATCCTCGCGCCCGATAGGTCTGCTATACGAGCCAGTAGATCCAGATCTTCTGACGTGAGAAGGTCAATCGATCGTACCGCTGCAGACCTGAGAATTGAGATAGCTGATTCGGTGCCGGTACATCCAGTCAGAGGATCCGGAAGGTAATGAGACGTTAGCGCATGCAGATAGCACAGCATGAGGCGGCTCTGCATGCTTCCATCGCCATCGATCTGACCCAGAGTTTCGTCCATATGATACGCGCGAATTCGAGTCGCGGAGTTATCCGCCAGCCGAACCGTGGTATGTTGGGAAATGGATTCATTGCAAGATGCAAACGGTCCAGCAGGTATCTTGGATGTGATCGCAAAGTCAAAAAACCCGTGCGGGATAAGAACCATACGATTCTCCGTGGACCTCAGTATCAACCTGCTCTGCAAGCCTACGAGGGTGCCCATCGTTTGGTCCGGATCAACAATCATGTTGCGATACTGGCGAGAACGCAAATGATTGTCATTTCCATCTAGATCGAAAGCGATCTGTAGGCGCGGTAACTCAATCTCAACGCGAGAATTTGGTGTTTGATTTGGATCAAGAAGACGTATGTGCATATGCAGCGGCTTCTCAAGTGGGGCTAAAACAGCGGCTATCGTACGAGCTGTATAGCTGTTGACATCGATCATGATAGTCTCGCCTTTGACCAGTCGCCATGATGATGCGTGTCGGACGAGACGCCACCGCGCAGCATCAATCTCAGTAGGCCATGGAGAGTACAATGGTTGAAAGATGACCTCTTGAGCTTCTGAATCATAGAAGTGGACTGCATCTGTCACCAAAGACTGAGGTAACAAGCCTTGGAAAAGACGTGAAGGAAGCAACTCGAGCTTCTTGCCATGTCCGATAGCCAACAGAAGCATGTCATCGCCACTCATGCCGAAGTGAAGATTGTATTCTTTGTGTTTCATCTTCGCCGAGAACCTTAGTCCAGGCTCTCCTGTTGGCACGACTTCCAGGGTTGATTTACCGAACAGTGGCGCGTACATGATGTGGCGCATGTATTCTGAGGGCAGTCGATCGAGAGGAAGTCCATTGACAAGCAGCTCACCAGTAAGCAAGTTAAAGTGTACTGGCAGATGCCCTGACTCTGATCCTGACCTCAATGACTTAGTATGAAGCCAATGTTCTTGATGCTCGGGGAGCGCTTGCCAACCCTGAGGTGAAGTTGGCTCGAACGCAAACCAGTTCGCGGTGATAGCCTCCGAGAGACCGCTACTATCCTTGAGAATAAGGGTGCGTAGCGTAGGTAGCAAGCGATACATCAGACGATTCCAAGCTCGTAATGTAACGTTGAACAAATCTGGGTGCTCGGATAGGACTGCCCCGTGCTTGTCCTGAATGACGATCGACGATTGAAGCAATATGGAAATTGCCGACTTTCGCTGAAGAATGGTCGCAACATCAGCTTCCTCGACGTCATAAGTGCTGATGCACAACAGCGCGATCTCCAAGCTTTCGTTAGGCATGGCAGCCGCCCTCTCAGTCAGCGCTCTCAGCCAGGCATGGCAGACAGTGTGCATGTCGACCAGGAAGTCGATTGCACGAACGCGAACTTCTAATGCTGATGCAAAGCTCAGCACCCTTCGAGCGAGCAAAGAGAATGTAGCTGCCGATCGCCATGATTGGCTGTTCATTCGAATGCGTTCCAGCCCTGTCTCTAACTGTCGAAGCATGGCATGACCGAAAGAAGCCTCGGCAAGGATCAGATGGCTTTCACGCTCGATGCGTTGGCTTGGCGGGCCAGTCTGCTGTACAGATTGTAATACCATGCATTGCGTTTCGATCTTCGTGAAGTCGACAGTAGGAATCGCAAGTTCAGCGAGTATGTTTGCGTAGACGATGTTGTGTCCCAAAGGTAGCGCTGCCAAAGCTTTGTATTCGTCGATGGAGAAGTGAACTGGACAGTCAAATAAACTAGCCTATATTTGCAGCGTTAGCCAGATCTTTGCTACATTACTAGAGTTCATCTGAACTGCGGTCATGATGTATCTCGAAGGTAGTCCCGTCTCTCTGTCATGCACTTTAAAGGTGTACAACGTATTGAACACCTTCGGAGTGCATTTTAACCAGAGTGTAAACGAGGAATAAAAGCCAATGTTTTGATATATCAGTAGGGGGCTTGGCTTTCAACTTACAATCACTTCGTTGGCTTGCTCACCGTCTGGTGAAGTTGGCGGTCGATGCATGAAGCGTTCAAGTGCTTTTGATCGCTCCGGCAAGTGGTAGACACAGTTCTCCGATACCTCCTCTGTACAACTCGGCTGTTTCGTAAACGATCCTTGCACTGTGTCGTACATTCTATATTGTAGCGCATTTTTGAGACAGACATCGTTGTCAGTCAAGTGTGGAATGGCCTTCTTCATCTTCCGGTGGGTAACAGTGTGGCTCTTGACTTGCGAGAGCGGAACAATACGCCGCCCATGATACCGAGAAGAAATGAGATGCGATAAGTCATGATGCATGTCGAGCGTATATGAGCAGGATGGTCGTGTCAAGTTCGCGTCCTTGTAGCCGAGAACAGTGGCGATGAGATAGGCTGTTGTTTCGCGCCAGTCGCTGTATGCTTCAGGAATCATCAATTCGAAGATCGTTGCTTTTGCTTCGGGCAATTTAGGTGAAAGTGGCCATTCGAAAAGCTCAATCGTGAGCCCATTTGCCCTGTTCTTGGCTGTACACCTGTCGCAATTCTTGGAATGCTTCTGTTCCGTGTATCCATGATTGGAGTCGTATATCGATGTCACATACTGACACTCGGTAGTCTCGTAGCGATTCATGTAATCTGCGTGTTGACGCTTGAGATCCACCAGCTCTTCACACTTCTCTTGACGCTTGGCAGCTGCATCAATCTCAATCTTCGATAGTGTAGCCTGGAGTGACTGGCATTGATCGTAGTATCTGACAGCGAAGGAAGAGAGGTGTCCAAACTCCCGAAAAACAGATGATCTCTGCTCTTTTCGTTGGGGGCGTCGTGATTGAACGTAGGATTCAACGGCGTGCAAGCGCTGTAGATGGCTCTTCAGAGGAAGTGTGAGGCATTGAAACTCTGTCAGGTCGACCTCAGGATCGTAGTCGAACAGCAGGGGATAGATATTACAGGCGATCGTATCGCATGCAACCCACAACTCAGTGACTGTGAGATACATGATCGACATACCGATAGGATCTCGAGCGTAGGCTTCACTGGCGGCCCCAAAATAGCTGGTAATCAGACCGTAGAGTCTGCTACACGCATTCTCATCGTGAAGATGATGACTAGCCCAGCCAGCAAGATGATGTTCGACCCAATCCTCTATAGCGGCTAGACGAAAGTATCTACCTTCATCGATGTCTGATAGCTGCAGGCTAGTTGGTAGCTCAGTAGCGTGGTAGGATGGATACTCGTCGCTTGGCGAGAATGTAGATAGCTCAACTTCTTGCTGTCGGGACTTGATGCTGGATAAGAAGACATCTAAGCCCAAGAGGTACATATCGAGGTCGGCCTCAGGCTTCAGACTGGCGATTGCGTTGAAGTTGACATTAGCTCGAGAGCTGTCAATTCGATTCTGCCAGTGCTGCTTGATGAGTTTGTGAGCGTCGAGCATCTTGTCGTGGATATGCTGCGCCCAGCCTGGCTGCAAGCATCCTGTCTGCTTGAGGAGCGAGAACTTGCGCAATCGCTGGGTCAGCTTGGATGAGGCAATGTATATAGCCTCGCTATCCATTTCCTTCCAGTGGTGTTTCGCTAGGTCGATTATTCGTGCTAGCAGGAAAATCATGAAGGATTTATAAAGGCCGTCACTAGAGAGCGTGTCGGGTGCTTTGCGAGCGAACACCAGTTGCAGCGAAACACGGAGCAACAGCCACAAGGGAGACCGTCGCCACGGTGCCAAACACTGACACCAGAGGACCTCCTCACGAGTGTTCTTCGTGATACGCTTCACATCCGTCGGCTCTCCGAAGGCGCTGATCATATTCATCAAGAAGTCACAGGCCAGGCCTGGATGCGTTGTATCGCGCTCCTCGACCATCTGTACGTGGTTTTTGGTAATGTGAGACTGGAAACCAGGCACAGGCTGCGTCGTCATTGTGGCTAGAGTACCAGCGATAGACTCAAGAAGCTCTGGATTGACGTCTCCAACGGGTATCCTTGATGCATAAGCTGGGAACGTTCGCAATAGGCGACCTGGGCTCATCGCGGCCGCATTGGTTGGCGAAAGCTCGAAGAACTCGAAGTCCAGGCCATCCGAAGAGCGGCTCACAAGGATTCCGGCATTTTGTTCCTTGATCTCCAAGGGAATTGCACCGATTGTGACACCGTTCGTAGCTTTGGTAAGGATGTGCTGTAGCTGACTTTGACTAGTGTTGCCGTCATCGTCGCGGCAGCCTCGAAGATTATTGACAGTTTCTATGGCAGATGTGATGGTTCCAATGTGCTCGTGTTTGACGTTGAGCTTCAGAGATTCGAGGGCGTGGACGGCGATCTCGAGTAGGCCCAATTCGTATACGGTCTCGCGGTCGTCCTGCTGTGGTAGCTTTGGTGGTAGAACGATGTGATTGAAGGCATAGGCCGTAGCTGCAGCCGACAACATGACGTAGGCAAGCGCGCTCAGTGAGCGCCTTCTGTAGTAAAATAGTTAGCTTGTACTGCCGCGTCCAAAAAATAGAGCGTAAGTTTCAATATAGGTGTGTACAGCGCTCATCGCAGCTGAGCTGGAAGTGCACCACGTACCTGAGGCCTCAGCCAGTGTGAGCGTGTATTGAAAACCGGGGTGTTCGCTCAATTATGACTCTATGACAACGGCGATGTTGTTACAATTGCGATCGAGGTAATGAGCGTAAAGCGTGTTGCTGTTCTAGCGATAGCGGTGGTGCGCAGGGTGAGAAATGAAGCGAAAAGGCAGCCGCCGAAAAATCTGCAGCGCACTTGAGAAGCGCGCACTGAAAAGAGGAGAAATTTGGTCGTGCGCGTTGTTGTTGTGTTTAGTTAGGCAAACGCTGTCCACGTTCACTACGCGACCGCCGACTGCCCACCGCCGCAACATATGCGCCATTACCAGCGTGTAATCACGCATAATCTTCTAGACCAGCAAGACTGTTATGAGTTTACCTTGTCCAGATCGCCTCCCAGTCGTAGTCATAAGTTATCACGCAGGTACGTCCTGGAGCTGAATACCCACCACTTTGACACAGCCAAGACAGTAACAGAATCTCCGAATGGTTTGAACGGCGCCAGTAACTCTTCTTCGATAGGAAGAAGTACTCGGAAGAGTGGAAGCCGCACGTGGTTTGTGACCACATGCAATATCCGTCTCGATTGACTGATTGATAGCACTGCAGATGACGCGACGCCAACGCGAAAAGCGGCCGAGAATCTCGCAAAGGACGGCCACGTCGATCCAATCAAGTAGGAGTATCACGGGTGTTGTGCGTTGACGCAGACCTCACCGTCCAGATGTCCCGTACCTCAGTACTCGTGTCAGCTCACAAATCTATCTAGACGGCATTTCTTATTCCCATTCAGCTCAATATCTTGGTATACTGCATCGCTCTCGGTCGTGGAATTGATACATGGCTTGCATCCTTCTCTTGTTGATGGCCATCATCTGAAAGACATGTGCCCGCGCAAGGCTGTGACGTCACGCGTTGCGGCGAAGCTAGGCCGCGCAAGACGCGTCTGCTGTGCCTCGTTGACATTGTCATGGAATAGATGCGTACAGTGATGATTGAGCGTCAGTATTCGAGACCAAGAGGATGGATGTTCGCATGCGAAGAGCGAAGCGTTGATGTGTCATTACCTAGGTAAGAGCAACCTCGGGATCGAGCCTACAAACGTCGTCTGCCTTGGCATCCGCGCTAAATGATCATCGGAGGATGAGGGCCGTTTTTGAGCTAGCCAGCCCGCGCCGTACAGCGCGTATTTTCATCCTTGCATCCCTTGCCTGTTCAACCCGCCATCTCCTTCGTCCATGGCTTCTTGTGCGGCCATTTCGCTGCTCCGCGGCAACCTTGTAAGATCCAGACTTTGTTTACCCTGGACCTGGTGCGTGCAAGTGGCACGACTGCTTCGCGTGCAATCAACTGCACATTTCGGAAGTCGAATATGCACACAATCCTTCCATCTTCCTAAATGGGCAGCAGCCCCGGTACCTGCGCCCTCCAAAAGATCTAGGTGATTTAGATCAATTGCAGCATGCAAGGCTTCCTGATGGATTTGAGCCGCGGAGGCGGATGGTTATTTCCGTCCGGAGGTTTTAATAAACACCAGCATTCGCCTATCTGTCTCCATCATACTCAACTCCTAGTATCGTCTCATTCAATTCAACATGGTCCTTCTCGCAGGCATTGCAGCTCTAATCTTTGCCGCGCCGTCTATTGCGACGGGAGCAGCCAAGACCCTTTCTGGTGGAGAGAAAACTGCCTGCTCGAAGTTGAAGTCCAAATACCCCGACGGTACCTTCCTGCCTGGAACCTCGGGATACGCGTATGAGACACAAGAGCGTATGTAGTCATACTCAGTATCTAGCCCGATACCCGCTAACATGTCACAGCTTACTGGTCAGCCACCGTGTATAGCAGCCCTGCATGCGTCTTCATCCCCCAAAATGCGCAGCAGGTTGCGTATGCGGTTACTACAATGACTTTGACACGGTCGAAGTTTGCTATGCGAGGCGGAGGACACATGCCGATACCAGGTTATAACGGGATCGATAACTCCGGTGTGCTAATGTCTTCGTCTAATCTGACGACCTTGTCACTTTCATCGGACAAGTCCATCGTCTCCGTCGGCCCCGGCAACCGATGGAGGGATGTATATGCCTATCTCAAGCCATCGGGACTCGCAGCTGTCGGCGGACGTGTAGGTCACGTGGGTGTTCCAGGTCTATTGCTTGGTGGAGGTATCTCTTTCTACTCTTCTGAATACGGCTTTGCTTCTGACAATGTCATGAAGTATCAGGTATGTTTTCAAATATCTGTGCAAGTTCTTGTCTTTTTTTCTAACAATAGCAGTGTGTGTTATCTAGCGGTCAGATCGTTGAAGCGACAGCAACGAACAAGTACTCTGACCTCTTCTGGGCATTGAGGGGCGGCGGAAACTCTTTCTGCATCGTCACAAGATTCGATTTGCGACCTGTGGAGGGCAGCGACGTTCATGTCGGTATTGGCCAATTTGACCAGACCCAATCATCGGGCTACCTGGACGGTGTCTACAACTTCGGTAAATACGGAGGTTCTGACCCGAAAGCTGCCATCATTCCGACCATTCTTACGTTCCCCGCAGCGAACATGACCGTCTATGCGGCTGCGAAGTTTTACCACTCTGTCACCGACAATCCCGAAGTATTCGAAAACTTCACCGCGCCAAAGCTCACCCCAGTCGCCGATTCATACGCACTGCAACCTTTGTCAGACTACATTGCAGCTACGGACGCACTCCAACCCCTAGGATTGCGCCAGGAATTCCGCACCCTTTCGTCCGTCGTTGACCGCAAGGCTGTGCAGCTCATTCACGATGCCTTCATCTCCGGCGTCAATGCCAAACTGCCCAATGTTGCCAATCTTCAAGCTTCAATCACCTTCCAGCCCGTCACCAAGGCGTTCCTCTCACACAGCGCCAAGACTGGAGGCAATCCCCAAGGTGTCGATGTCTCCAAGGCGCCATTCTTCTGGATGGTCGAGAACTTTACCTGGTCTTCTGCGAGCGATGACGCCAAGGTGCGCGCTGCTGCGGACGAGATTACGGCAAGCATCAACAGCATACTCCATGCCAAATCATACAGCGCTCAGTACCTTTACATGAACGATGCAGGCAAGGGCCAGCCAATCTTCCAGAGCTACCCCGCTGCCAACTTGAGGAGGTTAAAGACTATTCGCACTAAATATGATCCTCTCCGGGTCTACACCAACTTGATGCCTGGTGGTTGGAAAGTTGCTGATGCTTGATCTATCGGATCAATACTTTGCTTAGACAATTACTTGCATTAGACGATGAATACATATCATACAGCCCCTACAGATTTCTGGTGTTCCCTTCGATGCGCTTGAAACTACACTTGACGATAAGCAGTATAACACGAAATCCATTCGCCGAAAAAGATGGACCTCTTCCATCATGCCTTGGTTCGCTGTTCGGATGTTCGGTAAATCCATCGCACAAGCGTATCAACTGTGCCTCACCCTTGCCGAACCGATGAAAAGCTTGAACGCGAAGGAACGAGGCTTGAACGCGAAGGAACGGCGCGAAGGAAGTGGCAACGTAACCGAGCCGTGTCTACCCAGGGAACCGGGTCGGCCGCTGTAGAACCATGAAAAGTCTCCTCGGACCTGGCCGAGACCAAGCCTCATACCGGAGTGACGACTCAAGTGGGATATCCCTGGTGACAGTAGGTTGACACCGGTACATGTACGCGTTTACATGTTCGAATCTGCTGATTTGACAATGATTGCTGGGCGCCTGATCCAGCTTGCAGCACTTACGCGCTGCGCGTGTCTTCTACCCCCACAAACCTCGCAATACAACCGGCCCGCGGGCGGCTCGTTTCACACAAATCGAGCGAGCTGGTCAATGCAAGTTACATAAGTGGCATCACAATCAGGGACGGCTTCGTTCTAGCCTTGCTTCCGACGTTGCCCGATTCCCAGATGCCCGGTTCATACTTCAACTATCAAATTGCACAGGGGCAGGTTGAAGGGATTATTCCATAGTCTGGCCGCCACCTGCTTGAACCGTTGTACTCCGATGTTTGAGCCGTCTTGACCGATTGTGATTGGGCTCACAATGGGTTTCCACTCATGTAGGAACCAAATATCACTTGCTAGCACGTAGTTTGCGGCGCGGTCGCCGCAGCTTCCTAGAAGGCTCATGAGGTTTCTTAAGTACTAATGTCTCCCAAGACGACGACCCAAATTGGATTGATATTATACGTGTGACTTTGTGATCACGAATGATGGCAAACAACACGCTCAACTACACAGGCCTTATGGTAAGTTAAACTGAACAACTGGCGGCATCTCTAACTCCAGAAAGGCTTTGATATGGAGTCTTTATGGCGTGTCATTCGTCTTAACTGCACTAAGAGGCTTCCTGCGATGGAAGTCTCAACGCAGACTTTTCGCCGACGATTACTTCGTCTTCTTTGGCTTAATTTCTCTGACTGCGCTCTCCGCGGTCATCACATGTCTACTACCGCAGTTCTTCTTGGCGCAGACATATATGACAGCGGCTATAGCAGATCCGCTCACACCTATGCCACTGCCGGCAGACGAGTTTGTCGAGAGGACGCGTACCTCACTGAAGTTTATGTTCAGCCAGATGCTGCTGTTTTGGACTACGCTTTGGGCTGGTGAGTCAGGCTGTTCTATCCACCAATGGTGAAACTTCTTCTTACACCCTTGACTAGCCAAATTCTTAATCCTCTTCTTCTTCAGACGTCTGGTGATTAGGCTACTAGCATACATACGCGCATAGTAGGTATAAATTTATTTAAATACATAAATATTTTAAGCTATAGAGCTATTGCATATAATCTAAGTTTATAAAAAAATAAGCTCTCTACTAACTTATAAGTATAAATAGCTTAAATAATAGTTTTAGGCTTAGTAGCTAAAGATAAGCTATAAATAAAAATTTTATTAAATTATTAGAAAATACTTTTATAATAAAAACTATAAAACTTTATAAACTTTTTTAAGTCTAAATATATAGCTAAAGCTATAAAATTTAGTTATAGTAGTAAAAGAAAAGTTTATAAATATACTTTAATAAGTTAAAATACTATTTTCTACTTCTTTCTTTTTTATACTATATTACTTAGAACTTTAAGTTAGTACTTTTTTTTATTTTACTACTTTTACTAACTTTAAAGCTTTAAAATAACTATATTTAATAATATTTACTTTATCTTTCTTTTTTTTATTAATACTTTTAGTAGTTTTAAAACTATATTAATAAAAAATATTATATCTTTAAGTAGATATATTAATAATAAAGTTTTTAAGCTAAGCTTTTTTTATATAGTTAAGCTAACTAAAAATATAAGTATAGTTATTTTATAGTAGAGTATAACTAACTACTTACTTTATACTAATAGTAAAATATTTTAAGTTAAAACTAACTACTAAAAAGCTTTTTAAATAATACTACTAAGTTATATAATTTTTTTAAATATAATTAAGATTAATAATAGTAATATAGTACTAGTAAGTTTATATATTAGTTAATAAATAAATATAATTATAAAAATACTAGTAAGAGTTAAGCTAAATATTTAGATACTAGTAAGTAAAAAAGTATTTATAAATAAGCTATTTAGTAATAAAAATTTTACTTAAATATTAAAAGTATTAAGTAAAATTACTTTATTCTTAAAAGTTAAGCGTGTATAAAGTTAAGTATAGTAGTAGTAGTAGTAAATAATAGATAATAAAGTTAGCTTTAGTAAGCTTACTATTTTATAATATATATTACTACTAAATAGTGCCTTAAGCCTAATTTAGTTATCTTTATAGTAAAATAATATTAAAAGATATTAAAAGATGTTAAAAGACTTTAAGCTAGTCTCTTTTAGAACTACTAAACAATTTTAATATTAATTTAGTATATATTACTATAGTAATATAGTTGTTTTAGCTTATAGACTTATTCTATACTTACCTATATAACTTTCTTTATACTATAACTAGAAATAACTAAAAATAATATAATATATAGTAATAGCTATACTACTAATAGAACTAGCTACATTTATTCTCTATTAACTATTAACTATTAACTATTAACTATAATATAATACTGTATTAACCTTCTAGGTAAATAGTACCTAATAATAATAACTACTTATCTTTAACTATAAAGCTTTACTACTATTATAATAGCTATTTACTTAAGTATAGTAATACTTAAGAGACTATCTATAAACTTCTTTTTATTATTATTTAATACACTATTAAGATAGCTAATAATCTTATTTAAGGCTCTAATCTATAACTTTATAGTATTAGAAATAAATCTAGAAGAGCCTAGTTCTATAGTTAATACTAGTCTATATATAAATATATAGATATAAATAGCGCAGGCCTCTAGCGTATCTAAAGTAATAGAATAGCTTTAATTAACATTAATAATAAGCTTAAAGTAGTAGAAGAACTTATATATATTAGTAGTAAGTTCTTTAATAGTAAGACTAGTAGAAAGAAGAATTAATAGCCTTACGCTAAGTAAATACGTCTATAAAATAGTAGTAATAAGAGCTTTAGAAGCTTTAATAGAAGTATTAGTAAAGTAGCTCTTTATATATTTTAGAACACTCTTTATAGCGCTTAAAATATTAGATATTATATTATAAATAATATCTTATTTTATAGCTACTAAGATAGCTTTTAAAATAGCTTTCTTAATAGTCTCTCTTTTAGTAGACGTAGAGTAGCTTATAGTAGCTTTATAATAGTAACATAATTTAAAAAAAAGTAATTAAATAATAATAAAATAATTTAGTTAAGTATTAGTAAAATAGTAGTGTAATATAACTAGTAATAAGATTAGTTTTAGACTTATAATTACCTTAGAAACTTATAAAAGAGTTATTTAGATAGTGTAGCTTTAAGTATTAGCTTTAAGTTACTACTAGTGTTTTTAATATATTTTTAGAGTTCTAAAAGTTAAAATATAAAGAATAGAAGAAGTGCGCTTTTACTAAGATTTTAGTATATATATTCTAACTATAAAGCTTTAGAATATATTACTTTATTAGTTATAAGCTAATAAGCGCGTATAATTATATTATAATTCTCTTATAGAGTATTTAGTATTTATAGAATAGCTTCTTAGCTAGCTTAAAAGATTTAGAAGCTTTAACTACTTTAAAGGTAGTAGCGCTAAGGCCTAAGCCTTAGCTTACTTAATACTATACTTTTAAGAGTAAGTAAAAGATTTAGTTATATATTCTTTAAAGTACTAGTAATAGTTCTTACTTCTTTAGAATTAGTAGCTTTTTAAGCTATAAGTATTACTACTTAAGATTTAGATTTCTGCTTAATAATATTACTACTAAAAAAGAATAAGTTATTAAATTTAATAAAATTAGAATAAATAATAGACAATATTACTTTAATACTAGAGTATTAATATAATGCGACCGCATAGTGGGTATGCTTTGTATTGGTACTGCTCCTATATCTCGCCTCGATCGCCTCCAACTTCTTAACCTGCCGGCCGCTGTCTAAGTACTGGAGCGCAAGTGAGTACCTCCCACTCTCTAGTTCCGTGTACCTTCTAACTTGCGTAGCTGGATGTAGCGACCCGGAAGATCTCGTGCGAGCCGACGCCTCTATCAAGTTCGCAACCAGCGCCGACGTGGTTGCCGATGCCCTCATTATGCTCCTTCCTTTGAACTTGCTGCGCAAACTACAAGTTTCGCCTCATCAAAAGTTTGGACTCGCCGTCATTTTCTCGCTCGGTACCATCATCATCGCTTTCGCTTTCGCACGGCTTGCGCAAGTCACCAAGGCCACTTCCAACCCCGATCCGACTACACTTGCTGATGGCCCGGTACTACTCAGCATGTGGAGCCACATCGAGTCATCTGTCTCCGTAATAGTAGCTACGCTACCCGCATTCAGGTACCTGCTTAACGGGAAGATGGGGCGAACGCGACCCGGTCCGTCTGCACCGCCAGTATATGGTTCAGCGGAACCAGCTGCGTCGGGTCCGCAAGGTAAAGTACGTCGTGTGTTCAGTGGAAATAGATGGAGTCACAACACTGGTCTGAGATTACCAAGCAGTGAGCAAGGCAGGAAAGCAAGCAACGACTGGGGCAGTGAGACGGAATTGAGGCCAATGGCTCGTATCGAAAAACAAGTTGACTTTACTGTCGAGAGAGAGTTGGTGAGCTCGCAGAAATAGCGTGAGTGATGAAAGTCTTTGTTGCTAAAGATACGGCCTGATTCCAATACTCAACGATCCCTATCTTCATCCCTCCCCGGCCAAACAATCTGCTTCTTCCAAACCGCCCTCACACATCCCACAACCGTCACCAACCAAATCACCACCAGCAGAACCGTCATCACGCTCGCCACCCAGAGTATCCCCTCGCTCTCCAACTCCCTTCCCAACACACTCGTACTAAGCGTGAACCCCACATTCGGAAAGATGAATGCCCACCATGTCAAGCTAAACGGCATCCTACCCACCACCCCCACATTCCCCAGGAACGCAATAGCAAACAACCAGAAACTGAAGACATACAGAAAGATCCCCGTGAAGAGCGCCAGAACACGAAGAATCTCCGGCGCAGCAGGATGCTTCGCAAAGTAGCCCCCCTCCATCCCCTCCGGAACCGCATTCGCCAGCCCAATCAACGCAACAATGGTGTACGCCCCGCTCCCGACCGGTATAAACAACGCAGGCCGTAACTGCGCTGGCGGAAACCCATTGTCCAGCAAGTTGCGTACAAACCCCACAATAGCAACAAGACTAACACACCACCCAAACCCCTGCCACGCAACCCCACTCACAACCACCTTCACCGCCCTCCCATCCGTCTGACTCCCCGCCACAAGACTCGCCACCGTCCCCGTCAACATCGTCGAATACCCCGCTAGGAAAAGACTCGGCAGCGGCGGCACAGGCCGTACCTTCCCCCACTCAATCACCACCCAATACTGGAACACCGCGTTTGCGAGGGAAACCGCGGCGTAGATCCAATACAACACGTAAACCGCGTCGATGAGCCAGGGGTAAGCCGGACCGTGGGTGATGCCGTAGGTTTGGATGCCGGCGAGGATGACGCTGAGGGAGAGGTAGAAGGAGCCGAGGAAGAAGGATTCTTGGGGGTGGAGGAAGGAAGTGAGGAAGTGGGAAGTGTGGTAGATGAGCCGGAGGGTTGTGCAGGTGCAGAGGAAGAGGAAGAGAGTGATGTTTAGGATGAAGAGGGTTAGGCCGATTTGGTGGAGGCCTGCGGGGGTTAGTGTTAGTTCTGGTAGGAGCGATGGGAGATTCGTGGTGGAGGGGAGGGAGGGCGTACCGGGGAATTGATGCGGTGTTTCTGCTATGGCGAGGGCGAGACCGCCTGTGCTCATTGTTGAGAGGAACCAGGCGAATGTGAAATGTTTCAGGCGTGAGCGCATGCCGATTTTGCGGTCTGGTTGTTTGTGCTCCTGGTGTAGCGTTTCTGGCTTCGACGACGGGGTCGTGTCGTCGATGTTTGGGGATGTAGACATTTTCTAACTATTCTTCCTGTTTGTAGTGCTTTTTCATGTGTTGCTGGTCGCTGCTGTCATGGCATGGTGGCTGATGTGGTGACGGTGATGAGAGGTATGCGACAGATGAGACACGAAAAGGATCACAGAGCTCATCGCTAGCGATAGGTTTGCGCGCAGCGTACGATTATGCGTCGGTGTAGCTTCCGATAGGATGTGACCTTCTCCCCAGAGGTCATGATCGTGAGATATCCAATGGAGAAGTTGCGGATCGGTGGTTGGGCATGACGCGCCGCGCCGTGTTTCCGGTCGCCCTATTCCCGGAGCCGCACAAGCTTCCTCGCACATCAACCGACGCAACTGCATCTTCACAAGAAATCTACCGAGTAAATGCATCGAACTGTTTTCTTTCAACTATTAACATTACTTGCGAAGATTTACGCCACCTGTTGAATCCTATCCTTCGCCTTATCCTTCTTCTCCTTAGCCTTCCACTTGATATCCCCCGGCTGCGGCCACCTGTAGTTAACAGGCGACTCTCCACCCACGAAGATACACAAATCATACATCAAGCCACCACACAACGCGCCAGCAATAGATGCGCCCCAAGAGCCATACGCCCAGTATCCGTTCTCAAAAGCCGAATCATATCCAACCCACAATCCGATGAGCCTTGGACCAAGATCGCGCGCTGGCGAGATACCCAGACCGGTGTTGTAGCCAAGCCCGATCATGGTGACGAAGCCTGTAAGACCGACGACGAAAGCTGTCATACCTTGGCCTGGAGGCGAGTTCTGGTCGTCTCCTAGGGCGAAGATGACGCAGACGAAGATGGCCATGTAGACGAAGTCGTTGAAGAAGCCGGTTGCGGTGGAGTAGATGGGTCCTTGAGGGAAGAGAGCCTTGCCGGTCATCTCCAGGGTAAGACCGGGGTCTACTGCATGAATAGCATCTGCGTAAAGACTATTACGAAGTTAGCAACTGAGGCATTCTGATCGGCAGAAGATTTAACGTACGCGTAAGCTACAGCGCCGGCACAAAGTCCTGCCAGCAACTGCATGAAGATGTAGACGATTGCCATCTTCCAGGGGAAACCGCGGTAGACGGATAGCGAGATTGAGATTGTGGGACTGAGATGTGAACCGCTGACACCACCGCCGAGGTAGATGCCGATCATGACTGCGAAGCCCCATCCCCAGGCTTGGGTTTCGAAGCTGCCGGTGCCTTCTTGAGATGTGGCGACCGAAAGGTTGACGCAAAGTCCAATAAGGAGATACACAAACGTCTACACGGTATTAGCAAGGTTGCTGTCAAAAGATTTGATGATACGTACGGCTAGGAACTCGGCAGGTGCCTGTGGGTACTTGGCTCGCAGCCTAGCGATTGGGTTGCGGTACTGGTTGTAGAACTCGCGTTCTGCCTCATGCTCCCGTTGCTGAATCTCTTTCTCTTCCTGCTTAGTCTGGGAAGACATATTCGTATCGTGTTCCTGGAGCGGCGGAAGACCGTCTTGCAAACCAAAGTGTTGCTGCTGCCCGCGTCCATCAGAGAACTCTAAGCCGTGCTCGTTGACAGGCGCACGTTCTTGACCTTCATGATGTTCATGACTGCGAGCGTTCGGTTCTTGGTTGCGGCCAAGCACCTGGTCAGCTTCACTAGTCGGCACGCGTTTCATATTGACATTGCGGCCGTCAACTGTTGTCTGGAAGTGCGAGGGGTCACGTCGCTGGTGTGGGCGACCAACGCCGTCTAGCGTCTCCTGAGAGTCTTCTGAATCTTCTTCCAAATCTGTCCACGTTCTAGTTAGAATGATTACTCTTGAGGGAGGTCACATCAAGGGGGGATATGAAGACTTACCTTTGCCATCATGGAAGCCTAAACCATCTTGTCGAGCAATACCATCTGCATCTCCTTCATCGACCCGGTACAGAGACTTGCGCAGGTCGCCTCTACCCCACCACATACCCTTACGTACAGTACGTGGCAAAGGCGCACCCAAACCGAAGACTGGCTTTGACTTTTGCTCATTGTACCAAGGATTCAATGAGAAGTAGTCATTCTCCACGTCTACAGTCTGCTGTTGCTTCTTCTCAGGTCGTCGTGGCGGCTCTTGCCTGACATTCTCACGAGTTGCTCGGCTCTTTCGGGCAGTGGGCGTGTTTCTGATGGTGCCCATTTGGGTCATACCAGTTGCAGTAGTGTTGGCACGCTCATTCTCGGGTCGTGACTCTAAGCGAGCAGTGTCAAGTCTCCCTATACTTGGTGCATTGGAACGACTTTGTGCCAGACCCGATGGCATGCGTGTTGCCGAGGGTTGCTGTCGTGGCTCAGGCGTTGCAGCAGGTCTTTGGGATGTGAAGTAATCTGACTGCTGCCCTGTAGAAGGTCAGTACGTGTAATTTCTTGATGCCAATGGAAAGAAGCTCCTCTGGCTTTTCGAGAAAAGAAAATTGTGCTTGTTCGATAACTTACTGTTATCAGCTTTGTTCGGCTGTTGTTGCGACATGTTGTATGCTCGTTTCTTCCTACGTCTCAGGGCAAGCAGACCCTGACAACCTTATATCTGATATGTACTGGACGTGGGAGTAAAACAGGGGCGTGGGAGGTGCCAAGTGTACAACATGGTGAAAAAGTAGTCCCGCGATTAAGCCATGGGAAAGTGAAAGAATTCCATGCAAAACGTCATTTGCAGGGAAGCTTTTGCCTAGTACGCCCACGTCCCCATTATTTCGGAGCGACTCTTGGTGACGCGGAATCACACATTCCAATCATTTGGACGGGTTTTCATGTTGAGTGGGTGCGTACCGTTTCGGGAACTCAGCTTTAGTGGGTTTGCCCTGATAAGAAGGGTTCCATCGCGATCCTCAGGGTTGCGGCAAAGTGTGGCGTCGTGCGGATCGTGAGATTGCTGAGCATCGGCATCTTTACTGTGGGTCGCATGCGCGTTCCGCGGAGCTGAAGCCTTTGTCGTCGACATGATCGGAGCGACAGATTGACATTATGGTGTCTTGTGAGCGAAAGAGTCATCAAAAGTCTCCTCGGAAAGTGTAAGGGGAATCGATGCAGGAACCGCGTAGGGAATGTTTAGGTGCAGATCACCCGAGAGCCTCAAGAACAGTCTCAACCAATAAGCACAACAACGCTCGAGAGGCCGCAACAACCGGCAGCGGCGATGTCGAGTCATGGCCTACCTAGAATATCACACAAGCCACACTTCTCTGACAGAGAGTTCGGGACCAGAGCCGATGGTACACCACGATCATGCAGGTGAAGACGCACTATTGCATCGTAATGTGGAGACTCGGCCAAGATTTCTACGTTTGCCCGATGATTTCCCTGCGACATTGCCGTCCCGGGAGGACTGCATTGCTGTATTTACACATGCACCATCCATGCACTGAAGAATGCCCCAGTGTCTGCGTAAGCTCCCGCCGCCGCGGTGTGATAGTACAATGTTGAGCCCGATCCCGAGGTCCGAACATTCGTATGGTGGGTCGATGGGCAGCCTTTGGCAGATCCCACACCCCACGCTCAACAACTTCCAAGTATCTATGCAGTGACTTCTATCTACGCTCTCACGACACTGCCATCAGCTTGTTCTGCTCCTGGGCCAACGTCAGGCCTTCCGGTGCTTGTCGGAATAGCACGATCTCGGATTGCTTAAAGTATCGACGGGCGTCTGGATGAAGGTCAGTCACAGTTGCGTAGAGATATGCGTATGTCATACCTTCGTCGATGAGTACTAGACTCAAGTAGTATCGGGTGGAGTACTTCTTGTTGACTTCGCGGAAGGTGGGTGTCAGGTCGAAGCCTCCGAGGAACAACCTGATGGGAATTGTTTCACCTTGACGTCGTCAGTAATGCCTGTCGCAAACGAGTCATCGTGCTTACCTCGCGACGGTGAGCCGTCCATGATCTCGAAGCGCACCAGCGTCTCGCTCTCGTTGTACTGGTTGGGAGCAGCCCCCGTTGTCTCTCTTCTTATGATGGACAACTCCATGTGCTTGATCTTTAACCGTACCAGCAAGAAGTATATCCTGCCCACAATCACGTCCTTCAAGTGGTATTTCGATTTCGAGTACTCGAACTCAATGTGCAGGCAGTCTTCGATACCGACGTCCATCTTAATGGAGCTGTTGGTCTCGGGCGGTATCCGGTAGGAGTAGACCCAGAGGTCCTTCTCTCTGACTACGTCTGCCATTCTCCGCGACACGGTGACGCGCACAAAGTAGCGCAGCTTGACGTTGATGCCATTGTAGGATTCGTATTGCTTCTCGACGTTCTTGAAGTTGAAGTCGAACGTCTGCGGGTGCTGGAGCTCGCCGGGGGCTGCTAGCTCTTGGCCGAGGGAGAGGAACTCGTAGTGGTTTCCGCGGTCGAAGAACATCTCTGGCGCATTATGTCAGCACTGCGCGCCGAGATATAGCTATGGTGAAGCTTCGGGACGGCGGATGCCTACCAATGGTGCCGATGAATTGCACCTTGATGCCCGTGTGCTCGAGGCGCTTGCCATCCTTGGGCCTGACGGTGACCTGGCCCTTGACTGATTCGCCATCCAGGTACAGCGGCACCTTCTCTTTGCGGTTCTTGTCGAGCTTGACATCAACGGCGGAGCGGTCGTCGAGGTCCTCGAGCACGATGTCGATGTCGACCGGGGTGGAGAAGAAGTACGACATGCCGGGCCAGAGAAGTGCCGGTGGATTGGCGCGTGTTCGGAAGCGGTATCAGAGGCACTCGTCGCGTCGGTGGTCGGCGGCGCTCGACTGGATGGCCGTGGTGTGGAGAGCTGCGCCCCAGATCCATGGCAACAGCTGATGACGCTTGTCCCCGTTGAGCCCGTCACGTGAGCGCATTCTGCCCCGCCTTCCCCGATCCCTCACCAACACCACCTCGTCATATTCACCCCCAGGTATCCTTGTTTTACTCTTCACTGGGTCCACGTCACGTCTGACTGCTGCTCTCGTCGGGTCAGATGGTCCTCCACATGCCCCTCCCGAGCCTGCGGAGATAGGCACCTGCATACGAAACAGCAAATATGCACTCGTTTGGCGGTGAGCTGCACACGAGCAGCTGCAATATCGCGGCGTTGTGACTGATCGGGTCTGCCTGCACGTCGCGCTCAAACGTTCTCACCCGTCTGGACTATCCGGAGCATCTGCCGGATGCCGCCCCAAAGACTAATCGACTAATCGCAACTCAAAGACTGTTCGCAGCCTCGATCCTCACCGGCCCGATGCACTTTGAGATTCCTCGCCTAACCCCCACGCGCCATTATCAAACAGCTTCGTACCGCGAGTCAAAGCGGTGAGCTGAAGTCTATTGCGTCCAGGCAGATACTCAGTCGAATCGCAATCTACTCAGCAGAGCGCCCTGCAGTTGCCTGGCGTTCAGAACTCAAGTCTGCGCTGGCATGTCGTGGTCACCGGCATGCGGGATGCATAAGTACCTGAGAAGGACTGGGGTCCTCATGCGGGGAGACTGATGCGCTACTCGTCATCCCACACGCGACAGGTCCACTTTCAAACGCCGAAGTTCTCTCTCTCCAGCCCCGGCTTCGCGGCTGTTACAGCCGGCTGGGCCTGTTACTGAAACTAGCTACACGCCCTTGCTCGCCATTCGCTGTTTGCTTTTCGGAGCGTGCCATCGTGGCTTGGCTCCCAGAATAACGACAAGCTCCATCGCATTTCACCCTTGCCGTTGCCGTCATGGCTTGCGGGAGAAATTTCCAGACCAGTATTCCAAGGTCCCACGCCTTAAAACGCACCACGCCCCAGCGCGAATCGGGGCGCCGTTGATTGCTTACAGTCTGCATACACTTATATTTGGTCCCGACCATATCGCAATATACTATATTAACCCTACCCGACACCCGTCCCTTTGTTTTCGGGAGCCCAACTCAAGCATTAGCGTCATACAAGAGCCTCACGTACTACAAACACTCATTTCCACAACAGTTTGACTCAAACTCCAAACTCTGTACCACCATGATGCAAACCGTCGATCTATCGCAGCCAAAGCCCATACAATATGCATCACCACCTACACCACCGGCTTCCAATACAGGCTCGCCATCCAAGTCCATGGCTGTCATGAACGAGACCGAGACCGCCAAAATGACCATTTCAACCCACCACCACATCCTCATCGTCACCGGTCCAGCAGGGTGCGGCAAGAGCACTGTTGCAAAGCACCTCTCGGACCGATATGGATTTGACTACATCGAGGGCGACGAGGTAAGCCAGTTCCCTGTGATCTATCTAATGCGTACTGACGTCCTTGCAGTTCCACCCAAAAGCAAACATCGACAAGATGGCCGCCGGCATCCCTCTCAACGACGAAGACCGCTGGGACTGGCTCATCCTTCTACGAGACCAAGCCATCACTGCACTGAAGAACGGAGCCAATGGCGTCGTTGTTACCTGCAGTGCGCTCAAGAAGAAGTACCGCGACGTCATCCGCACAGCCCGCCTCTACGACGAGGACCCAAACGCCAACGTACACTTCGTCTACCTCCGCTCTGACATGGAGACCCTCCTCGCCCGCGTCCGCGCCAGACAAGGCCACTACATGAAGGACGCCATGGTCGAGAGCCAGTTCGCTGCGCTGGAAGAGCCCGACGAGACGGAGTGCAAGCAACTGAAGGATGTGGAGATCATCGACGTCAAGGGCAGCATACAAGACGTTCAGCTGCTGGCTGGTGCTGCTGTAGACAAGGTCCTTGCGCAATAGCACGACGCTTGTAGCATCAGCTGGCCCTGATCTCATGTTCCGTTACGTCTTTCCTTTCTTCTGACTTAGTCGTTCAGGCTCGGTGTTGGGCGAGTTGAGTGCGCAGGAACGCTACGCGTGGACTGTGACTCCTTGATTTACTTTAGTTACGGCGTTCTATCTATATCACTATACCCTCGCGAGACGGGACAGCATACATGGTTCGCGGAATTGAACAGTTCTCACTTCATCGTAGCAAACATGCAATTTTTTGTTCCTTTGACATGGGTTGGCGTACTACCATTGCCGACATGAACTATCGTGCTATCATTGCCGATCTTTTCTCCTGCATCCCGCGAAACCGGTCGGAAAGATCCTCCTCTTCCTGATGTTTCTCGGTTACTTAGTGCCCGTTCGTACACGTGTGCAATGAACTTCCGGTGTGTGCGGATCTACCCCAACCCCGCTCTTCTTTACCAGCAAAGGATGCATGACGGCCCGCAGCCTATGTGGCTTGGACCACCACACGACGTTGACTAGATTGACGCTACGTTAACGACTATCTTCAGTCTTGGTCCAACATGACAGCTCTACGATGGACGCTCTCGTTTACCTACTTCGTCTTGTAGGTTCGTCCTAGACCATGATGTATGATGCTTGGGTATCCTCTTGCCAAGATTACCAAAGTTGGAGGACGCATAGTTCAAATTAGTCATAGTCAACACCGATCACGGTTAGCCATGAGTATATGAGCGGTTGCGATGATTTCGTATGCGATCCAGATGACTCAGCCTTGAGGATGAGCCTGACAACAACGTACAGAGATATGAGACTGGGGAGTCGGTGTGGTCATGAACGCGATTCGCGGTTCCAAAAGCGGGTATAATGGACTACCAATACTATCTTCAGGACACGCGTGCCAAGCCGTCAAAACGATAATGGTTACTATGCGTATCATTTCTGTGACCTCATCAAATCTCTTTGAACGACAATATCACCATATCCCCCTCCTTCAGCCATACAACCCGTGTCACGTTTTGCCGCATACATGCTACTTGTCCTGGATAAGTAGGTAGGCTTCGAGGTAACGTATCCTCCCAGCTAGGCAATATTCTGGATCAAATTTGGGTATTGCAATCCAAATGCCACCTATCCCAGTGCAGGTCCTTTACCCAAACATCAGATGGCTTGACCGACCCATTGCTCGAACGGTTCCACGCAGTCCACGTCCAGTATGTTCACATGGAGATGCGTCCGGCGTAGCAAGGACCTCGATACCGGCACGCCAGTCGTCGTAGAGCGTCCCAACCAGTCCTCTTGACGACTTCTAATGAAGCAGAATTGCGGCAAGTAGCGAGGCCCCGGGTCCAAACTGAATATCTCCGCAGGATAAGCCATGCTGTCCCGCAGCATCGGTCTCAGGTGTCCGATAATGAGAACTTCGAGGTTGAAATGTGAGTTCTTGAAGAATTCTCCATAAACAAGGTTGGCAAACGTCTGCATCTGCGTTGCTAGGATTTGAGAGTCGTTGCGTGCGTAGCCGCCCCTCTCGCTCCAACTGCCGAACATGTCGCTGACCACCGGGCATTGGACATGCAGTGTACGGAGCCTCTGTAGGCGTCGTATAGAATCCTGCGATTTGTTAGTCTTTGTTTTTAGAAATCGTGTCGCATACATGCTATCAAATGTTGATAGCAAGACAGCTTCTGAAGTAATGTATACTTCTAGCTCAGATTTGTTTTGCAGAATGCGACACGAAGTTTAGCTGCTTCTAGTAGCGGTTGGGCAACTTACTAAAAACTCTTCCAAATTACCGTAGCCCATACCGGCTACGAAATATTCCTCATCCACCCTGGCAGCCAGCTCCTCAAGGTTGGGGCATGACTTGCAAACAAAGTCAAAGTCATTCTCGTGAAGCACACTGTGCTCGGAAACGAGACTCAGAACCCTCAACTCTGGGCCTCGGCTCGCCAAATACTCTTTCAGGGCTGGAGGTAGAGGACTGAGCTGATTGGCGCCAATATGAAGGCTGCTGATGTCTGGACATGCTTGAAATAAGCTCTTCAGACATACGTTACGCCCATCTCGTGGGAGTTCTATTGCGTCCTCGCGATAGAAATCGTCGTTAAGCCCAACATGCCTAAGATGAAACTTCGTATCCGGCTTTGCGTTTGTCATGGCGGACAGGAATTCGAAGCTATCCATGCATTTTGCAAGATCCAACTTCAGCAGCCGGTGGAAGTCAATGATTTTCGACAGAGACGTATAGGTGTCCTTCAACCTCCAGTTCGTTAACCTAAGTTCCTTTAAGGGAAGTGTGCGCCTTTGACCTTTCCAGGCGTGGTTTTTGATCGGGTTGCTGGAGAGTTGAAAGTTTCCACTTTCACTTGAACCATACAGAGACAAGGACTGCAGGTTTCTTCCAATGTTTTCGATGTTGTCGAGCAGAAGTGTGACAAGCGACTCATCGACAATGTGCACATCAAGTCGTTTCAGACCATCTTCTCGGTGGAAGATTGCTGGTAGCTGACTGGGGTTTCCATAGTCGGCATGGAGACGGAGTTGGAGGGCTGTGATGTTTGCTTGGTTTGCAGCAAGTCTCATGTCCAGTGATCTGGTCAAACTCCGTAGGGCGATGAAACTATCGGCATCAGTATGTAATACAATACAACATAAAGCGTTTTAGTTCAGACCTACCGAAATGTGCGAAGTGCATTTATCGGAATGAGATCCAAGATTTGTTCGAGTTTACGGTCGCGTTCTGCAGGATCTTTCGCCCCAGCGTTGAAGTGGTCACTGTGATTCCAAAGGAAAGGTAATGCGACATGACCATACTGTGCAGAATCCGCATCAGGGGCGATACGCTCGTCTTCTACAACAAGTTCCCTAATGTGCTTGGCGTACTTCTGAGCTCGCTTGAGGTGTTGAATCATCCAGTCGGTGTTCCCTTCGCTCCACAGGCGAATGTCGACGCGTCTGTAAAGTTTCTCCACTGCAAGGTGATTGAGTTCCTTCGATACCAAACATAGCGATCTTAGATCACTTCGCGTATGTATCTGATAAGGTTAGCCTGGTTATGCGAAGGTCGACACTAGGTGTAGCTAGAATTCCTGTCGCTTTTGCTGCATGCACAATTTTAAGTCTTCATAACTAAATAGTTACCAAGACAATGTGAGCTTCTACTCAGACAGTATCTAGATATGCTTAGAGCATGCGACACGCAATATAGCTACCCAAAGTGTCGATGTGGGCAACCCACGTAATCAAGTACGCATCTTTGGCAGTCGGTGCTGAGCTGCAACATGCTTACAGATAGTGCCGTGTCGACGAAAACTGATCTGCGACACGCTGAGGGAACGCGATGCGGGTAATTGATGTCAATTTGGTTGTACGTATAAAGAGAAATGAATAGTCTGAGGAAGAAACTCTCCGCACGATTAGGCTTTCGTGAAAGAGAAGGTTGGCACGTTGGGAAGCTCCGACCTCGTACAAGGGCCGACTCGCGCATGCAGGAACGCCGCCCCGCATTTGTCGCAACCCGCCCCTTAAATTTTCTAGGCTTGCATCACCGATGACGCACCACTACGATTCGACCAACAAGTCCAAAGGCACCAGGGCCATTATGCAAAAGCAATATGATAGCCTACCTTCACCTTGTCCGAAGATACAGCGCGGATGTGCAACGAAGAGCGATCGTAATGTTGGTATTACACAGCACCGTTAAGACTGCGCATTCGAATGATATCTGGGAGTCCCACACAGCACCACGAACAGAGTATGTGGCAGGCGCTCACGGGACGCCTGGGATGCTAAAAAGCACTTCTTCGATTCAACGCTTAGAGGCTAGACTCTATGAAGAATGACGTGACACAGTACCAACATGCTAGCCACGCACGCCCTCTAAGGAACGCGCATCCTTCTGCAAGCTCCAAATGCTTTAGCACGACATGTTCTGGAAACAACATGCTCTCAAGATGGTCCAGCTCGCTTCGCGACAACGTTTCGAAAGGTAGCTGGACTTTGCCTTACATCGGTCGAGCAGCCCACACCTCCCACGCATCGGAAGCAGAATGCACATCGACTTCCAAGATATCCGTGTACGGTTGCGTTTCGCGCAACATCATTCTCGTAACGGGTACAGCAACGGGAACGGTGCGACCCAGGATATCGCGTTGCTCGCCTCGGACGAAGCATTGTTGTGGAAGTGGACGCACGAGATCCAGGTTGTCTGGATCCCCCAGAGTCGCCACATGGCCGATTACCAAAGCATCCAGCTTCGATTCTGCACCCGTCTTCTTCAATACTTCTGCATTCAGAGACTCAAAGATGCGGCTTGCGAAAGTTTGCAGCTGCAGGACCAATATTGAGGTGTCCCACCCGCCGCCTAGTTCAGCGCACCCCATACGGACACAGTGTGGTAGGCGAAGGTGAAGCAAGCGCAGTTCTGGGAAACGGCTTAACGCCGTCTACTAACTGTTAGCTATTGTTCTTGCGGCCAACCGCTCTGAACCTGATTGCTATGACTTACTATGAGCATAGGCTCAAAGCCTTCCATTCCCCAGATGCCGCTAAGCATTGACATTTCTTCAAAGTAGATTGCAAGCTGTTTCAATCCATGAAAGGAAAAGTCTTGGCCAATCTCCAACAGTAAATTCGCAGCATCGGAGTCATATTCACCCCGATTGTACTGATTCGCATGGAAACTCAGACTCTGCAAGTTATGTCCGGCACGGTGGAGGTACTCCAAGTAACTGTACGTAGGACTTTCGTCAGGATCCGCTTCATCGCAGCGGATATGGAAACTCTCAAGAGGTTCAGAGGCCTTGAATATCTGTTTCAGGGAGCCCCCCAGAGTATCGGCTCCAGACGGCGAGAGATCACCCGCAAGCTCTATGGCAATATGCTTTAGGTTGAGCCTTTTGCCCTTGGCACGGTCGGCAAGATGTTCAAAAAAGTCTTGAGCTCCCCCATAGCTTCCCAGGAGCTTGAGTCGCGCAAGTCGATGGAAGTCGACAATCAAAGACAACCCTTCGAAGACGTCCTCGAAAGTGAAATTGAACAACGTAAGTTCTTCGAGCATGGGGGTGAAGCGGGTGAGATCGTTCTGCTCGCCCATTGCCCAGGTATTCAAGGGCCCGTTGACATCCTCGGCCTCTTCTGCTGTCAAAGATAAGGACTTTAAGTTGGCACCAACGGCTTCGATATTATTGAACAAGAGGGTGACCCATTTGTCATAATTGTCAACCGGTCCATTGAGATAAAGATCGAGGCGTTGCAGACCACAGAATATCCGCGGCAACACTTCAGGTGACCCGGGATCAGTATACAAGCCTATTTGGAGGTCTTGTATCTTAGTTTGGTAGTTGCGCAGATGTGTTTTCACCACTGGCGATAATGGTCGCCGTGAATGGTACCTGATTCCATTAGCCTCAACATCAATTGCCAGCACATCCAGATAGTAGCTCACCATAAGCGTTCTAGTTGATGATGGTGCATAATTTGCAAGAATGAGTAGGCGTAATTGTCTTTCTCATAAGCGTTCAGGTAATGAGCATCAACCCGACGATCAAGAAGAGGTGGGCGGATCCGTCCACTGTGTATCGTGAAGAGCTCTTCGCCAGGGGGACTGTCTTCGATAATGAGCTCTTTCGTGTGCTGGAAATGGAGGCCAGCGCCTGCCAGGTTGGACTTCTGGAGACGATCCACAGCACGCCGACTCCATAGTCGCAAGATGATACGCCTATACAGTAGCGGGTTCGCGACAACACGTAGAGCTGAACATGTCTCACACAGCGATTTGAGATCGCTCTTCAGTGTTATCTAGATCAATTAGTACGTATCCTGGAGCAGTGGGCGCCGTTGACATACGTATTCGACCACTCTCAGTCGTAGCTCTTCTGGGAGCTGCAATAGCGAGGCGCGGGGCATCGTGGGATGGATCGGTTGCGCGATAGTGCGAAGCTTGCGAGAATCGAGAGATTGTATGGAGACAATGACAGACGGAACAGCCCATGCAGAAATCTGTGCTGTGTGTGCCGACTGTTGTTCGTGGTACTTCACAAGTGAGGTTATCTGTCAGGTTGCCCAGGTGATGCCAGGTGGTGCAGCAACCCATGAGAGTGGGGTAGGCTTCGGTACTTCGCTCCGCGGATTGCAAGGGTCAGACTGACATTTCTTCCACGTGATATAATTTTCAGCCTGCTTGCTAGGTCAATCACTGACCATTGATCTTACTTGAGCTCTGATCAAAAAAGCATGATGGAGTTGAGCAAAGCAGCTATGTCAAAAAGCCCTCAAGACACGCCCACCCCACCACTCTATGGCCACTCCGGATCCTCCCTCCTCCTAAAGCACGCCACAAACTTCAACCCCTTATTCCGCTCTACCTTCTTCCCCTCCTCAGTCTCACTCCTCATCAGCCTAACACACTCATCCATACCCACGCCCTCAACCCCATCCACCGTGCTCCCCTCCTCAAACACCCTCTCCACCCGCTCAAAACACGGATGACGCTCAAAATGCCCCTTCATCCACTCGTGCAAGTCCTGCACATCCGTAATCGTATACACCACACCTCCAGGCCTTAGCACGTAAGCGTACTCTGAGTTTAAGGTGTAAGACACAATGCGCGCTTTGTGTTTCCGCTGTTTGAAATGCGGGTCCGGGAAACAGAGGAAGATTTTCGATAACTGGTGTTTTTGGAAGAAGTTGGGCAGGAATTTCATGGTGTTTGCGCGGATGCAGGAGGTGTTTTGGTAGAGCTGCGAACTGGAGGCGTTTTGGACGCGGAGGGCGCGGACTTTTTCTTGCACGTATTCTGTTACTGACATGCGGATTTCCATACCTGTGGGTTCGTGTTAGTTTGGGGATGCTGCTTGTGGTCTTGTGTGCTTGTGTGGTGAACGAGGTGGCGACAATAAATGGGGGACTGACCGAGTATCAATGTATCGGGGAATTTGGGTGCGAGGGCGAAGAGTAGGCCGCCGAAGCCGCATCCTATGTCTGCTATTTCCACGTTCTTTGATATCGCATTTGCTTCCCGTTGCTCTTCTATGCTGAGATCATGTGACTCATTCTGCCCTTCTTCCGTCTCTTTCTTGGGATGTTTGGCGTACAAGGGGTATAGACTCGCCCAGTCCATGTCTGCGGGGCTCTTGGGGCTGCATCATGTTAGATCCATTTCTCACCAAAGACTAAACCTTCTTACTATGTGAGTGAGTGATCTGAGAATGGATTCGCATGGGCGCGCTGCCTGTAGAACCTCTTCTTGGGCATCGCGCCCTGCTGCTCCTCCGTCTGCAGAGACTTCTTGTACTCCTCGCGCTTTGTGCGCTTTGCTGCTTCGCCTGGCATGGTGACTTTGGTATGCGCAATTAACAGATATGCAAGGAAGTAGGGTCAAAGGTAGATGCACAGGTGCTGAGGTAATAGTCGATTAGCTGCGTATCACGAATCAAGCGAGTTTTTCGCTAGCGCCAGGGTCTCTGGTCCACCACATCTGCAGCAACACAGCAAACAGCCGTTCGCGCAGCGATCTACTGCTTGTACGACAAGGCGTAGCGTGACGTAATTCGACCTGCATGTCTCAGAGACGTTACTACAAAAAGCCCGACGACCTTGGCACCCTGCATACGGTCCGTGGGAAAAAAATCGATACAAGAAGACAATCCCAGGTGTGCGCCCTAATGCTAATCCATATCCAAATGCCCAGTCGTTCAGTCATCAACATTATCGGAATTCAATCGCGCCTTGACACCCAAAATCTTGGATGTGTTTCAAATTGAGCTTCTGGAATCTGGGCAGTGTTAGCATACGACCATGTTGGCTGGGATGTCAAACTCACTTCTCGCTCTTAGCATGGAAGTAGATGCCCTCGATGCCACCTGAGAGCTGGTTGAAGCAGATGTAGTAGAAGCCTTCAAAACTCGCACCGCTTATAGTCCTCACTCGGTGGTCTGGCACGAGGAAGTACTCCTTCCACCGCATGAAGAGATGTTCCTTCTGGTTCAGATCCTTCGACACCTGGTCCTGGCGCGCAGAGTACTTAGCAATCGGCTTGTACGCGTCGAACCGCCCCCAGTGTTGCCGGTCGACCTTCTCGTTGGAGCCCCATTCTGGATGCTGTGTAATGAAGGTGTATTTGGTGCCGATGATCTCGCCTTCGAAGTACGTCGTCAGACTTGGGTGGTCTTCCGTTAAACCTGTGGACGTGTTAGTCTACAAGCTCTACTGGCACTGCGGAGAGGTGTGCGCACCTTTGATGCGCAAGTATCCACACATGAAGGATTCGCGCATGTCGACATGTTTTATATCGACTTCGACGTCATACTGCTGGCGGTCGGAGGTTTGGGTGCCCACGAAGCGACTGCCGGGCCGAAGGAGGGACGAGGATGTATTCGGTAGGAACTGCATCGGCATTAGCAACGTCTACTTTGCGCATTGTTCAGCGTGCATGCTGGTCTAACATACCCTATGCGCAGGGAATGGGGACGATAGATGGCTGGCGAGCAGCGAAGTTGGCGCAGCGGGAGAAAGCGGCGAGACGTGAGAGGTGCGTTGCTCTTCAGTACCGTCGTCTGTCGCCGTCATAGGCGTGGGAATGTCTCTGGTGGGCGAGTCTCTGTCGGTGCTGGGCAGCTTGGTCTGGATATCGTCGGGCGCCTGGGTATGCTCGCGCGAGTTTTGTGGAGACGGAGTGGGCTGCTGCATGGGAACATCGGGCACGGCGCTGGCATTGCTGTCGTCGTGGGCGTCCCGTATCTCATTCAATTCGTGGGTTGCGATAACGCGCGATTCCTCGGGTGGACAAGTCGGGCGGCCAGCGATGCTCTCGTGCTCCACCGGCGAGACCATGGCTTCATCATCCGGCGTCGGCATGGTCCGATAGCAGGTGCGACGAGACTACAGCGAAGGTGCGAGGCGATTATACATGGGACGGGTGGGGATGAATGTGCGATTATACAATAGAGCCTTGCGGGAGCCAGAAGCGTGGCGATGGGGAAGAATGCATGCTGGATGGATGACTTGGACTCGGCGGAGGTGTCTAGGCGGTTCAAAGTTAGTGGGTCACTGAGCTGCACTTACGCGGGGAAGCCGCACTAGCTAGGCTCACGTGGGATGACATGGGGCCAAACCTAGACACATTGGAACACTTGATATCTAGGCCGTCGATTGATTCTGTAAATTGTATGATCATTCCTTGCCAAGTGGGCCATGTTGACCTTCCGAGCCGACCCGCGCGATCTAACGAATTCTGGTCAAATCGCCCTTTGCTGGGCATTCTTCTCTCATACACCATCGTCCTGGAAGAGATCACGGAGATCAGGTGACACTAGTCACAAGCAGATGTCGTTCCTCCAGTTGACTCCGTACGCCGTCCCTACGTCATTCTACATCGAGCCGCGGTTGTGCCACAACCCCGTGGCTGTGCGCTGTCGGCAAAAGCAACGCTACTGTGCCTCCATGTGGCGGCGAGAGGCTTAGATAGGCTTGATCTATAACGCTGTGAGTCTTCATGTTCGACATGAGTGCACTTGATCGCATACCTTGAAGTGCAGAGATATTAAAGAAAAGACCAGAGCCTTGAGATCCTGCACCAGGTAGTAGAAGACGCGGAGGCCTTCTGGGTCCGACGAGTCTTGTACGTCCTGGAGCGAGCCAATTTTCGCAGTCTATTGTCGTCAGTTCACTGAAGGCCATGATAGACGGGTCACCCTACCTCAAAGGAGATGTGCTCGCTGCCTAACCGAATTTCCAACTCTTGACGGCCATCCTTGTTCTTCTGGGGCCACTTTGTGTCATCTTCCCTAGGGATGAGTTAGCAGATGATACGTAACTTCCGTTCCTTCACATACTTGAGGATCTCACTGTCCTTGACGATCTTCTTTATCTCGGCTACCAAAGCATCGCTGACGCACACTAAACGGCGCGTTAGCAGCACATCACGTCAAGGTCAGAGAATGACTTGCTCTCTTTCCGGATGAGTGAATCATTGCGGTAGTTTGAGTTGTTGGCATAACGGGCAGATGCGCTGCGACCGTCTCCGAGCACTCGAAAATCGAACTCTATACCAAGTTAGACTCGTGATTCTCTTTTCGCAACAGCTTTGCGCACCCAAGAACTCGTGTCCGAATCGGCCTTGGTGACCAGAGCTGCGAAAATGTTAGTAACTGCACGTGCTTGAGGATCCACAGCCTTCATACTAGTAACGCAGGTAGAATGGCTCGTTGGTTGTCATGTTTGCGACTACCTATATCGAGCTCTAACGATGCGCGTATAGGGATTCGCAGTGCTTGGGGTGCGCGTGTCGTGGTGTTGATGTACCGTCGCGGCAGAGGGTTGGAGATCTTGGCGGCCAGACCCCTGCAAGCCTAGCGAGGCGGCCTTCGCTGGAGCGACCATTTCTCGAGCAGACACCTGGAGGTAAACAGAGTCCCGTCGAGCACTGCACCCATATCTCCCACAAGCCCCCTCTCCGCCCAGGCCACGCCAGTCCTTTCACCCTCCCCGCTAGGCTGCAGCTGCGCCAAACCTCACGACTCCCTCCACCGCCCCCGTCGATCGATACACGTAGCCCATCCCACTTATTCTGGACTCCACGGGACATTGAGGGCTGACGGCCGCACCTGGAGTCACGTTATCGCAGCTGGACACTGTACACCCCGGGGCCATCCCATATACCACATAGCCCGGCATCATGGCGGCGTTTCTCGAGAACTCGTACAGTCTGGTAGGAACACCTGGCAGGTCGTGGGTATGGGGAAGCTGACGGGCAACCAGGTGCACCAGGACAATGCCGCCGACGTACCATCACAGAACGAGCTCAAGAATGCTCTGGAGAAGGGCAGCGATGAGCAGAAGATCGAGACTATGGTGCGCTCCCGCAATGGCACTGCCCCGCCTCGCTGAATGCGACCGTCTGACAGCTCTGCAGAAGAAGATCCTCTCGATTATGCTCAATGGCGACCCCCAGGCTGGCCTGCTCATGCACATTATCCGATTCGTCATGCCCAGCAAGTCGAAGCCGCTCAAGAAGCTCATGTACTTCTTCTTCGAGGTCTGCCCCAAGCACGACGCCCAGGGCAAGCTAAGGCAGGAGTGGATTCTCGTCTGGTGAGTTCAAAAGACTATACCACATGGAGCTTGCTAACTGGCATAGTAATGCGATTCGATTCGACTTGCAGGCGCCTAACGAATACGTACGAGGAAACACATTGCGCTTCGTGTAGGATCCTCCACGACACCTTCCCGAGCATTGCTGATAGTCGGAACAGAACCAAGCTACGAGACGCTGAGCTTGTAGAGCCTCTACTACGTAAGAATGTTGCTCTCCATACTTAGCCCAATTGTGCTGACACTCTCAGAACCGGTGCGCCAATGCCTCACACATCGACACGCATACGTCCGAAAGAACGCAACCTTCGCAATCGCATCCATCTTCACACATCTTCCCGAGCTCATGCCAGATGCGCCCGATCTGCTGGTGACATTCCTCGACGACGAGAACGACCCAACATGCAAGCGCAATGCCTTCGCCGCCCTCGTCTCCGTGAGCCACGAGAAGGCTCTCGAATACCTCAGCACCGTTTTCGATGCCATACCCAATCACGAGGAGCTCCTACTTCTCGCCGAGCTAGAGTTCATCCGCAAAGACGCCATCGTGAACCCATCCAACAAGGCCCGCTATCTCCGCTTGATCTTCGACCTCCTCGAATCGCAGGTATCGACCGTCATCTACGAAGCCGCGCACGCCCTTACCACCCTCACAAGCAACCCGGTCGCAGTCAAGGCAGCTGCTGGAAAGTTCGTGGAGCTGGCGATCAAGGAGCCGGATAACAACGTCAAGCTTATTGTCTTGGAGAGGGTTGAGCAGTTGCGACACAAGAATGAGGGAGTCCTTGATGATCTGACTATGGAGGTCCTGCGCGTTCTGTCTAGTACCGACTTGGACGTGCGGAAGAAGTCGCTCAACATTGCCATGGAGATGATCTCAAGCAGGAATGTCGAAGAGGTCGTCCTTCTGCTGAAGAAGGAGCTGATGAAGACGGTGGACGAACAATACGAGAAGAACCCCGAATACAGGTCGCTCCTCATCTCCTCGATACACTCGGCCGCCATCAAGTTCCCCGAAGTCGCCGCCAGCGTTGTTGGATCGCTCATGGACTTCATCTCCGATGTCAGCAGCAACGCCTCCGCGGTCGACGTCATTTCATTCGTCAAAGAAGTTGTTGAGCGCTTCCCGGATCTGAGGGCCTCTATCATCGAGCGACTGGTATCGACTCTTGGTGAGGTTCGTGCTGGCAAGGTTTACCGAGGTGTGCTTTGGATCATTGGAGAGTTCTCTCTGGAGGCGAAAGACATCCAAGATGCATGGAAGGGCATCCGCTCATCACTCGGCGAGATCCCCATACTTGCTTCCGAACAAAAACTGTTGGACGATGCATCAGAGGGCAAGGAGAGCACTGAGCAAGTCAACGGACACGCAAAGGCGGCAGCTCCATCTGGATCAAGGAAGGTCCTCGCTGACGGTACCTACGCGACTGAAAGCGCCCTGACATCCTCCGCTGCCGCCAAAGCGAAACTGGAAGCAGTCAAGAACTCACAAAAGCCCCCACTACGCCAGCTCCTCCTCGATGGCGACTACTACCTTGCCACAGTACTGTCCAGCACTCTCACCAAGCTCGTCATGCGCTATGGAGAGATCTCAAAGAACGAAGCTCGGACAAATGCTCTCCGCGCCGAGGCCATGCTCATCATGATCTCGATCATCCGTGTTGGCCAGTCGCACTTCGTCAAGACCTTCATCGATGAGGACTCCATCGACCGTATCATGTCATGTGTTCGCTCACTGTCCGAGTTCTCGCAAAGAAAGGAGCTCGAGACTGTCTTTTTGGAAGATACTCGCAAGTCTTTCCGAACTATGGTCCAAACAGAAGAAAAGAAGCGCGCCGCCAAGGAGGCTTCGGAACGCGCAAAATCGGCTGTCAATGTTGACGACTCTTTCAACATCCGCCAGCTGAAGAAGAAGGACGCGGATGGCAGCGATGAGATCGAACAAGATCTCGAAAGGGCAACCGGAGGCGACACTGCGACTGAGGATCTCACATCCAAGCTCAGTCGCGTCGTGCAGCTTACTGGTTTCTCCGACTCGGTATACGCAGAAGCATATGTCAAGGTACGTCAGCCCGACTTACTGAAGGTGTCTACTAACTTTACCAGGTCCATCAATTCGATATCGTCCTTGATGTTTTGCTAGTAAACCAAACAACTGAGACGCTGCAAAATCTCACCATCGAATTCGCGACTCTTGGTGACCTCAAGGTTGTCGAGCGTCCTTCAACGCAAAACGTTGGTCCTCATGACTTTATCAACATCCAAGCAACGATCAAGGGTAGGTCTTTCCTTACTTGCTTTCAGGTTCACACGCTTACTTTTACAGTCTCATCCACCGATACCGGTGTCATCTTCGGAAACATCATCTACGAGGGGTAAGTCGTGCGCACCAACACCCTGCAACAATTGCTAATATACTACAGTGAAAAGGGTGTTGACTCCAACGTTGTCATTCTCAACGATGTCCACGTCGACATTATGGACTACATCAAGCCCGCGCAATGCACAGAGACGCAATTCCGGACAATGTGGACCGAGTTCGAATGGGAGAACAAGGTCAACATCAACTCCAAGGCCAAGACGTTGCGCGATTTCTTGAAGCAACTCATGGCATGCACAAACATGAGCTGCTTGACTCCAGAGGCGTCGATGAAGGGCGACTGCCAGTTCCTGTCAGCGAACTTGTACGCCAGGAGTGTATTTGGTAAGTCCTCAAATTCTTTTATACATTGGCAATACTGACAGGACGCAGGTGAGGACGCTCTCGCCAACCTGAGTATCGAAAAGGAAGGTGACAATGGCCCTATTACTGGGTTTGTGCGCATAAGAAGTCGCTCCCAAGGCTTGGCGTTGAGCCTGGGGTCGTTGAAGGGTCTGAACAAGGTCGGAGTGGCATGATTTTTCGGCTAATAAGCACTGTCACACGTCCGGGGTAGCGGGAGATGGGCGTTCCTACTAAGAAACGGTAGCAAAAGGAAGGTTGGTTGCTTCTTTCGTCTACAGGTCTTCGCGTACGACGCGTTGGGTCGATAGACATTTGGGTGGGATGGATGAATGTTAATGTAGCATTGCCGTATCAAAGAGACAAGAGTTCAAATTCACATCCAATATCACAGTCTCTGAGCACTACAGGAAGAATCGCTTCGTGTCACGTTCTGGGTTGGTTCGTGATTGGGATGCCTCGGTTCGCGAGCGTGCAGGGTCCAACGGGCAACACGGGAATGTTTCCTTTTTGTTTAGCACCAACTATCCGCCAGGATCCGCGCCCTTGCGACAGGGACGGTACCCGTGAGCGTGACATGGCCGTCGTCAGCGTGCCTGTTGCGCTGGTCTAGTCTCGAACTGACTCCTGGTCTTTCTTGCCCTCTTCACAGCATGCTGCGCGTCGTCCCTGCGACATTTCATTAATCCATCATGGCTTCGCTGGCTGGCTCCGACGATCCCTTCAGAGACCCTCTGCTCACTACCAACGCCGCTCCTTCGCAGCCGTCGCCCGACTCGGCACCCACCCAGGAGCAGATGAATGTTCCCGACACACTCGCTGTGGGCAGAAACGCCTCCCTGACCCTTGGGACCGACTCCTTGGTCGTACTAGGTGGGGAGACTACTCGAACATCACAGCGGCGCATCACTCACACAGCACAGACGAAGCACTCCTAGATAGCAAAAGCGCCAGCTGCTGCGGTCTGTCTCTTGCTGGCAGTAAGTGCTAATACCGCGTCTAGACACCAACACCCGCTTACGCGACGCAGAGAACAAATCCACTCGTTCCATACCCTTCTACAACGTCCTCTGGGCCGAACACTCAGAGGACGGTCACATCACCGTCCAGTATGCGCAGAACACATCGAAGAAGGCCGTTCGCCCTGCCATCATCAGCTACTCCCTCGACAAACCGGACAGTCGCATAACGGAGGCATGGATAGAGAAGCTGCTCGATCGCGCATACGGAGCGTCGCAACGGCGCAAACGAATCAAGGTACTCGTCAATCCGTTTGGCGGCCAGGGCGGCGCAGTCAAGACATACCACAAGTTTATTGCGCCCATCCTGGCGGCTGCGCGCTGTGAGCTCGACGTGGAGAAGACACAGCACAACGGCCACGGCGTGGAGATCGCGCAGAACATGGACATCGAAGCATACGACGTAGTCGCCTGCTGCTCCGGAGACGGCATACCACACGAAGTCTGGAACGGCCTGGGCAAGAGGACCGACGCAGCTCGGGCGCTTCAGAAAGTAGCCGTCGCACAGCTCCCCTGCGGCTCAGGCAACGCCATGAGCCTCAACTTCAACGGCACCGACGACCCCAGTCTCGCCGCCCTCGCCGTCGTCAAGGGCCTGCGCACGCCCCTCGATCTCTCCTCGATAACCCAAGGCGACCGCCGCACCCTCTCCTTCCTCTCCCAGTCCGTCGGCATAGTAGCCGAAACAGACCTCGCGACAGAACACCTGCGCTGGATGGGCAGCGCACGCTTCACCTGGGGTTTCCTCGTCCGCCTCTTCAAAAAGACATGCTACCCCGCCGACATCGCCGTAAAAGTCGAGTACGACAACAAGACCGCCGTCCGCGAAGCCTACCGCACCGAATCCGCAAAACCACCTCGCAGCACCGACGACCGCGTCCTCCCCGCTCCCGAAACAGGTCTCCCAGACCTGAAATACGGCACAGCGACCGACCCCCTCCCCCCAGGCTGGCAACTAATCCCCCACGACCACCTCGGCAACTTCTACGCCGGAAACATCGCCTACATGTCGCCCGACGCGAATTTCTTCCCCGCCTCCCTTCCCTCCGACGGGTGTCTCGACCTCGTCCGTATCCGCGGCGATATCGCGCGACACACTGCTGTAAAGACGTTGTTGGCCGTGGAGAACCACTCTTTCTTTGATATGGACCATGTGGATTACCAGAAGGTTAGTGCGTATAGGATTATTCCGAAAGGGCAGAAGGAGGGGTATATTAGTATTGATGGGGAGAGGGTTCCTTTTGAGGGGTTTCAGGTGGAGGTGCATAGGGGGTTGGGGACGGTGTTGAGTAAGAGTGGGCATTTGTGTGAGGCGAGGGGGGTTTGAGGTGTGGGAGCTGGGGATGGTGGGAGAGGTTGGGGGCTGTGTTGGACTTGTTGTTCTGTGTGTGATATAGATACAGGGCGTTTGCGTTAGGATACCAAGGTTGTTTTAGCTGGAGTAATCAAATTGGGCTGTTGCTCTTTTGGCACATGTTTAATTTGTGGGTTTGCTCAAGTTTTGATTTCTACCCTGTCAATTGGAATGTACCATATTGTCTTTGCGTGCTACTTCTATACGTCCATTGATTTACCTACTGAGACTCTATATCATGATTCTGTATTTATGTGCAACCTCACGAAATTGAAGTTCCATCCAAATCCCCAGATGTGACTCACATCCCTATCCATGCCTATCAAATTTTCCCAATCGCCCCCCTAACCAACCCACCAACCCACTCAAGTTCTTTGTGCCCCCACATTCAATATTCGTGCCCGCAGGCCACATCTCCAGCCTTTTGTGCAGCATTTGACCACCATTATAAATATTGCATGACGAGAAATCTCCATCGAACAACGACCACAAAAGCTGCTTGGCGCAGCGGAAGCGCGCCGGGCTCATAACCCGGAGGACCTCGGATCGAAACCGAGAGCAGCTAGATGTTGAATGTTTCTTTTTTGCCCTTTTTTCCACCTATCACCTTGCAAAATGTGGGTAGGTGGAAGAGCGACGGTCCAAAAGGTAGGAGGTTGTTACATTTTAATGTGTTGAATGTTATGAGGCGGGGTAGCGCTACGGCTTCCTTTTTAACAACCACTTCTATCTTAACAGCACTGAGAATTATACTGCAACGACACGTGGAGCACAACGAAAAGTCTGAAGAAACATCATAAGATGATGTTACATTCACAAACAACCACCGCTATGCAAAGACATCTATGTAGAATCGTTACGTTGCGTCTATACCCCACCCACTAACCATCAAATCATCTACGACGCAGTAACAAGCACATAACTCGTAATAGCATCCATCCTCTCCTTCGTCAACTTCAGCCCCACCTTCAACAACTCAGTCGCAACCTCCTGATCCTTCCTCTCAAGCTCATTATACTTCTCCCTCGTAAGCAGCCAAGCAACAGAGTCATTCTCCGCGGCCACCGTGCCCGTACGATCAGTCTCAGAGAAGAACGGCAGCTCACCACACGTCGTACCGGGTAGTATGACTTCGAAGAAACTACCCTGGTCGAGTTCGTATTCCGTGCGTAAGCGGCCTTTTTCTAGGATGTAGAAGCCGTCTGGGTCGTCGCCGCGGGAGTAGAGGACGGTGCCGGCGGGGTATTCTTTGCGCTCGAAGTAGGGTGCGACGGCTTGCCAGAAGTCTTCGTTTTTGGTGGACACGTCTTCGAAGGTTTGGAGGATGATTTTGAGGGGTTGGGCGAAGTTGCGCCAGCGCGAGGGAGCGACTTGGGTGGTTTGGGTTGTGCTGAGCGAGGTGGTGTCGGGGATGGAAAGAGAGTCTTCGCCGCTCTCGCGCATGGTGGATCGGGCTGCGATGAGTCTAGCACCGCGTCGGGGCGAGGAGAATACGGGGTTGAGGGAGCTGGCACCGAAGGATGTGGGCGTGCCGCCAGTAGCGATTGGTTCGTTGGGTGAGGTGCCCTTGGATCCGGAGATGCTCATCGGCGGGGTGGTTTGTGGCTTTGTCGCGTGGCGGTTCCAGTGCTTGTGGAAGACTTCTAGCAACTCGTTCTCGCAAGACTCAAGTGCGGTGTTCAGGTCTTCGAAGACTTGTGGTGGAGGGCACTCTTCGTCGCCGTCTTCGTCCAGAAGACCGACGTTCTGAAGGGCTCGCCCAACTGGATCAGCGAAAGAGACTCCCGAGATGATCATCTTGACGTTCTTGGTGTTCAGGATACGGTTGATGCGCTGGAAACCCTCGGAACTGGAAAAGTCAACATCCAGGACGTGCGTGAAGTCGACAATGATGAAGCTGATGGGGTTCTTCTCGAAATGGTCGTCGTCGATCAAAGATCGCATGTACTCTTCCACGGAAACGATAGTGCCGAAGAATAGGAAACCGCCTAGCTTGATGGCGCGGATCTGTCCTCGCACCTTGTTGAGATAACGAGAGTCTGACCGCGGGCGGCGAACAGTGGACTCTGCGATCATGCCGCTGTATGTTCCTCGGATAGCTGAATGACGGGAACTTTGCACCACGTAGCTGACGCACGCGAGGACGATGCCGACGAAGATGCCAACAACGAAGTCGTGTACGCCCATAATGAGGACAATGGCCAGGATGGTCAGGTATTCGAGCTTGTGGCATTTGCCAAAGGTATCCCATAGAGCTTCCTTCATGAGATCGATACCTAGGAGGAAAATAAGTGCGCCGACGAGGCAGATCGGGATGTAGCCGACCATGGCTGGGCCCGCAACCCAGACGGCGGTCGTTGCGAACGCGAGCATGATACCTGCAGTCCGGCTGTTACCGCCGTTGTCGACGAACATGACGCTGTTGGCGTAGACGAGGTAGTTCTAGGACTCTGTTAGCGATTGATCATGAATAGATTTGAGGATTGCCCTACCTGAATACTTCCCAAGCAACCAGAGAGGGTGTTCGAGATACCGTGAGCGATGAGCTCTCGATTGACATCAAGATTATCTTCTCGCACCGCGGCACCAAGAGCAGGGACGTTGATGGGAACGTGAATAATGCCAAAGAATGAAAGGGCGAACATGGTGGGGATAGTGCTGACAAGCGCCGCTCCATCTATGCTGCCGAATTTGAAGTAAGAGTAGAATCTGTAAAACTTGACACCGGCTTCTGGCGTCTCGAAGATCCAACCTGCGTTGCGCACAGGCTCAAGGTCTTTGTGCATAATGCCCTTGACAATGA